TAGCGGACTCAAAACAACTGCAACCTGGAGCTTTTAATAAGCTTCTTTGTTCCATGGATTTCCAGCTCATCCTTGAACTGTCCCATAAGCCTGCAGCAGCATACATTCCTGCAATAACCACATAGTTGGCCGAGTTCTCGGGTTCAACTTTCACTAAATGTTTGGCAGCTACTTCACCAAGATAAGTATTTCCATGAATGTAACATCCACCAAGAATCGTACTCCATAGAGTCGCATTCTGCTCAATATTCATGTTTTGCATCAGAGTATAGGCTTCCTCCAAATATCCTCTGCGTGCAAAGAGGTCTACAAGACAAGAATAGTGCGCAGCTGTTGGAGAAATATTATAGTTGCTCACCATTTTGTTGAAACACGTCCATCCTTCACCGGTCAAACCAGAATGGCTACACGCTGAAAGAAGAGACAGTAATGTCACATAATTGGGCTTCAATCCTTCATCTTCCAACTTCTTGTAAAGTGAAACAGCCTCATTTCCATAGCCATTCCTTCCAAAGCCAGTAATGAGAGTTGTCCAAGTAATAATATTTTTCTCCTCCATTTCATCAAAAATATGCTTTGCATCTCCTATCTCTCCTGATTTAGAGTACATGTCAATCAAAGCATTACCCATGGCCACATCCTTATGAGTTGGATACTTTAATGCAAGACAATGTATTTGTTTCCCCACGAGCAAAGAAGCTGTATTTGCACATGTACTGAGCAAAGAACAGAGCACGATATTATCAACTGCTACATGCATCAGACGTACTTCATTGAAGAGTTGCACAGCCTCATTGATATTTTTACCATTGTGGGCATATCCTGTGATCAATGCGGTGCATGATATAATGTCCTTATTCTGCATATTTTTGTACAGATGTCTTGCATTGTCGACACTACCACATTTTACATAGGCATCAATCAAAGAACCAGTCAAACTACTATGTGATGCAAAACCTAGTTTAATGATGAAACCATGTACTAGACCAACTTTTCCAAGTCCAACACTGCCAACACAGGCTCTCAAAACATTTCCAAAGGTGAAGTAATCCGGCAGCAAACCTATTGCTGTTTAGTGTAAGTATGATAGAAAGAAATAATTCAACCAAAAAAAAATAAAAAGGAGAGGACCAAAACTCAAATATTAGCACAAAGTTCATCTCTTTGGGCATACCTTCCCTTAGCATTAGATGAAACATATAGAATGCATTGTCATGGAATCCTTGAATAACAAAACCACCAATAATCGCATTCCAAGATACCAAATCCCTCTCCATCATCGAACTGAAAACCGAAAAAGCATCCTCCATTCTCCCACATTTTGAATACAAGTCAACCAGTGCACTTTGAACAAACAAATTCTCCACAAACCTACTCTTCTGGGCACACGCTTGAATCTGCTTTCCTCTGTCCAAACACACTAGACCGGTGCAAGCCCGTAGGGCACTCCCATAAGTGTACTGATTGGATCTAACACCATCCTTGTGCATTTCAGAGAACACCTTTAGAGCTTCTTCTAATTCTCCGTTTTGAGAGTAACCTGAGATCAAGGCAGTCCAAGAAACCACACTCCTTTCAAGCATGTTATCAGATACCTTACGAGCATTTACCATGTCACCTAATTTCGAATAAAATATGATCAACTTTGTATTTAAATGGATGTTGGAACGAAAGCCATTTATTATTAGGTGTCCATGAGTTGAATGACCTTGTCTTTCGGCATTCGTGCCAATGCACAGTTGCAGAAGTTTTAAGTAAAAAGAATAATCTGGAGGCCTTGGTCCAGAAGAAAAGAATGCCAAAGCTTCTCGTAACTTTCCTGCAGTGCATGGTGACGTCGCAGTTGAACGTAGAGATGCATATCGAGGCATCAACCTTGATTGGTAGATTGGGAATTTGTTGGCATGACCAGTTAGGAACAGCAAAAGAAATCTTGTTCCTTCCTTCAGATTGGTACCAATGATCATAAACTGGAAAGAGTTCATGAAATGGCATCATCCTAGCCTTCTGGGAACTTGGGATTGTACCATCACACAGAACTTGATAGCTGTTAATTACAAACAAATGCACGTCAGACCCATTTCCAGAAATAATCCACGGAACAAAAAACTAATCAGATTTGAATAAAACATGAGCAGCCTCATTTGCCCAACATCATTTCAAAAAATTTGCAGACATCTTCAACCAAAAAGATGTGTGCCCAGGGAACTCTTTATAGGTCTATTCTTACAGAAAAACAATACTGTCTTTAGCACGGACTTAATAAAGACGGAAAAAAGAAAAATACATGAGTTACATTGAGATTGCAGCAATGACCCTCGACAAAGCAGCAAACCTTGAACAATTCAATTTAGCAGAATGGGACAGCCAACAGATGGATAAGAACCATTTTCATATTTTCTTAGAAAATTAATTAACGAACCATGATTTATGCAAAACACTAATTAAAAAAAAAAGAATCTAGCCAAAAAAAAAATTAAAAGCTTCCATCTTTTTTAAATCCAACCCAACAAGATAACGAAGCAAAAACCATGAAGCCCCCTAGGAAACAACCCTGATTTGTGCAATACACTAATTAAAAAAAAAAAAAAAACTAACCAAAAAAGAACCCCCAAAAAAAGAAAGCGTCTATCTTTTTCAATCCAACAAGATAACAAAGCACAAACCATGAATCCCACTTAGAAACGGAATGACATACTAAGAAAAAAATGTAGCAAAAAATGATATCAGTAGAGTCTAACTAAATACAAGAAGAATTGTTGGGTACCTTTCAACAGCAGGCGGGGTAGTTTGCAGATTGCAAACTGCAGCAAGATAGTAGTAGTCTAGTGAAGTGAAATTTACTGGAGTTTTTTTTTTCGGCTTGTGTTCTGTAACTGAAATTGCATCAATGGCTGGCTTCTACAAAACAAAACTTCCTCTGAAACGGACAGATATGGGACCTCTAAAATTTGTGATCCACGACCGGACCCTTTTTCGATATGGTATTGGGCTCTCAATTCACGGGCTTCGCCCGATATACAAATTTGAGTTGCGTATGCAATCAAAAAATACATAATATTTATAGTCATATGTTTTAAATAAAATTTTTATTACTAAAACAAACTTTAATCTTTTAAATGTTTTTCATAAAATAATTTTATATTGGTAATTATAATATTTAGAGGTAGTTATATTGAGAACATGTACTTAAATACTCGTTAAAAGTAAAAATTTTAATTAGAATTATTATTGTCTATTTAATACTACTATTTTCATTCTAATTTGTATCTCGATTCATGCTAAAACCCTTAATATCACTATTTAAAATTTAAGAAAATATAATAATTCAAAATCAAAACATTGGAGATAAAAGCGCGCAGTCAAAACAGTTGACAAACTGTTTTAATTTACTTATCTACACAATTGTAAGACTATCTAGAACAATTATAAGGAAAATGTGTCAAAATTTTCATGTCTATATTTATTATTTAGAAAACAACAATAATAATAATTTTAACACTATGATAGGCTACTTTTGATACTGTTTTATTATAGATTTGGGTTTATACGACGGAGAAGAAAGTGTTGAAAAAATCCTTTTAGAGTTTGTAAATTTTTTCTAACAGTGGGATTACCACAGTTTGATAGCGAATTTTGGCCATTTCTTTTTTATTTATTGTTCATTTTGATACCAAAAAAACTGGAAAACAAAGATCAACAAAAACATTGGACCACATATGAAGTCAATTCATCAAAAAAATAAAATCACTCGCTCATCATTTGATTACAATAGAAGTTAGAGACAACAGTAGTAGTTCTATAGTTTTGTCAGCGAAAAATTTCATTTTCAGTATTCACATATATACCAAACAAGAAAATTTCATTAAAATGTTTAAGAGTAGTAGTAATTGTTCTTTTAAGCAATGAGAAAGGTAATAAGTAAGTGTAATTTTTAAAACTTTGAAAGAGTCAAGTGAAAAGGTTTTTAAAATTATCCCATTCCATTTTGTTTTCATCATCTTGGACATGAGAATGAGAGCGACAATATATGCTATTATTGTCAATTAGTAATAGTAGGGTATGATGGGAAGGACAAGGAGACAAGATAGCTGTCTTTGACCTTTAGGCCTATCTTCATTCTCCAACTGCCCATCCACTGCCCAATTACCTTATCTTATCTTAACTTACCAATTGGGGGCTACAAACTTTGACCTCCTAAATTGCTTACACATTTGATAATTAATAATAATTAAGACGTGTACAAGAAAAGAAAAAAAAACCATTTTTGAAATATTCTCTTATTTACCTTCTCTCTTCCTAAGATGAACAAAACTTGTAACTCTTAAGTAGATTTTACAAACTAATACAGCAATAAAGAAGAAAGAAAGAACAGGAATTAGGAATTATTAGAGATATTTTTACTGTAGCACTTTTTGTAATGTGATGTATGTGAGATAAAAAGATAATTAGAAAAATAAAAAGGTGTGTTGGAAATTGTAATGATGATGTAAACAAATATATTTTGACAAATAAACTACAATCCAAACAAACCCTATGACTTTCAAAGCTATAGACACATCCTCTAACTATAATGTTATCTTCACATTCTCTAAAAGGAAAACGAAAATGCAGACATTTTGTCGTTTAGACCATTAACATATTCTTATTAATATCTCATGTCATAAAATCGTCTTGTTCGGAAAGGGATTTACCATCAGAAAATCTCTACAATATATTTTTTGTGAACACGTTTTTTAATAATTTTTTATTTTATATATTTTATCAAATTGCTACATACATTTTTTAAAAATTACATTTCAGTATCGAGAAAGTTGTACTCCACTCACACTTTTTCAGGATTCACATTACCACCGCACTTAAAAATAAGTGTATTACTAGTAGTGGTAATGATTAATGAACAGGTGAATGCCACTGCAACCTGCGGAAACCTGACTTCCTTCTGGATCTGGTATCTGATATGCTTTAGATACAGTAGAAGATATAGAAGATAGATAGGGGCGGGGCGTCACCAGGCACCAGTCACTTTAATCATTTGTCACGTCCATCTTGGTCCACTCTGACTGCAGGGAGGCATCCTCCTCTGACCCAATGTATCCGGTCCCTTGACTGCTGCCATTTCTTGTCCTCCTTCCAACTTTCATCATTCCTTTTCCCATTTTCCTCCTCCTCCGTCTCTCTGCGGTCTGCATCTGCTTCCTCATGATGGACATGGTCTCATCTTCAGAAGCAAATAATAATGAGCAAAACGCACGGAACCCCACAACAACATCCTCCTCCTCATCATCACCATTGCCGGCGGTAGTAGTCTCATCATCATCATCATCATCACTACGAGGAGGAGAAACTAGGCATGAGCCAAGACCTCTTTCTGGGATAGGAGGAGTGGGAGGCACTCATCCGGGTTTCATGGGAAAGCACAGAATGACAGCTGCCATAGGCTATCTTGATCAGCAAATCCAAATCATCCAGGTCCCTCTTCTGTTATTGCATTTTTTGTTGACAGATTTTTGGATCCATTTATCCAAATAACCATTTTTTTTAATTGCAGATTTCTTGAATTTGTTTATGTCTGTTTACCTAAATTCTGAATAAGCTCTCACTTTTTCATCCAGGACGAACTAGACCAGCTCGATACACTAGGTCAATCCTCTGTCGTTTGCAAAGAGTAAGTTTTAGAAATCAGAAGTCAAAAGGGGCTTTCTTTTACCTGTTTTTCTTGATTATCCTTCAGTTGCCTTCACCACTTGATTGCCTATGCCTGTTTGGGGATGTACTAATATACCTATCCAGTGTTTAAAAGGACTTGCATTATCTAGTGTAGTACTAGTACTGTAACTTTTTCCAAGATGGGCTCTTGCTTGTTTCCAGGATTTGACATTTGGACAAAAAAATTTTGCTTTGGATTTTTAACCTATTTGGCAAAATGGCTGACCATATTAGCAGTCTATCTTTTGTTAATACAACTCCATCTTGCACGTATGATGTAACTTTCACAAATGGATTGATCTTAAAATGCTGTAATTAAAAGTAACCAAAAGCTGATCACTGCAGCCAGCCAAATTTGGCTATTGTCTTCAAAACTAATTTTTCTGAACGATCATTCTATCAAACTGTTTTTGTCTTGAAGCTTACAAATCACTACTTTTGTTTCAAGCATAAAATGAAAATGTGAAAGAAAACTTTTCATTAGTCCATTGTTATATCCCTTTGCAGGCTTATCACCAGCATTGAGTCTGTTCCAGATGCTCTACTTCCTGAGTAAGGGCTTTGATCACTGTTACATTTCAGATTTCAGTAGTGTTTACTTATCAGTCGCCAGGAGTGAATTTTGCATTGATCTGCAATTTTACAGGACTAAAGGCCCTGTGGAGACTGGCTGGGATAGATGGTTTCAAGGAGGCCATGGCTCGAGAAATCGCAAAAAGTGGATTTGAGAGCAGGCTCTATAACTTCTTGACGAAATATACAGTACAGGGTGGGGGTGTGGAAGGAAAAGAGCTTCTACAGCTCTAGTGCTGCTATTTGGGCAATTTTTTGGTGCTAGAAATTTTCATATGTTGTAATACTAATGTGAAGGCATATGCTATCTATAGCCTATGTTGACTGGCACTGCATTGTTTTGTTTTGATTGAGCGTGAAATGAAGCAATTTTAGATAATGAAAACTGTTCATGAAGATATGGACACATTAATACAGTTGCAAGTCATTTGCTTCCTGACTTTTTTTTTTACATGGAATTTTGAAAGAAAAGGAAATTCAGATAATTGTCTTCTGCGTTCAGATTGCAGTGATTTGAGGAACAGGAGGAGCAATAAACTGCCTAATTAAAACTTAGAATGAGTGCAGTGAAGAATAGTTTTACCCCAATTCACAGGCAATTTTGTCCCCTGCTGGAAAATGTACAAGCACAAGCAGATACTTAAAAAGGACAAAAATGATAAGCAGCCACAACAAAAGAAAGATTTGCTATTGCCTAACTCAAATATTTCCTGATAAGAAAAATGAACAGAATATCTTGAGAAAGTCCTTGCCCAAAGGGGGGAAAAAAGTGGTCTGTCTCTGCTTTTATCTCTAGGTAGTGCTTGCTGGGGGAAGGAAACTCTGTGAATGCTATAACATATGGAGATCCATCTAGCTACAAAACCTAGAAGTAAAGTTCTATCTGCGTAGCACTTCCAGAGAAAAAATGGCTATACAGTCATGGCTCTGCTGTTTCTTTCCTCTTGGTGGCCATGCAGCGCAGAATCGCTACCAACACTAGATGTTTTTTCTGACAAGATGCTTGATTCTCCTGTCCAAACAGAGTCTTGCAGTAATTGGAAATCCCATGGGAAAAACTGTCCGACTATAGCAAGTCTTGAAGCCAAGTAGGGAACTCAAACGCCTTCAAAATGGAGGACATGGGATCAAAATGCACGCATCCAGCACTGCTAGAGAGAAGAGAACATGATTGGATCTTCCAACTGTATCTAAACGTATCATCCTCTAAATGCAAAAGAATCATTTTTAAACCAAGACCGAGGATTCAAGAAAAGCTAGCTGATTTCTAGTTAGCGTTAACTTCTCTTCAGCTTCTCTTGCTTTTTCTTGAACCCCACGAACAATGTGCTCTGGAGCTTTCTCTACAAACTGTATACAGCAAATAAAAATGCATGAGAGCATGAAACGCGAAAATTAAAAATTAAAGCTAACTATTGGCCATGTTATGCATTTAATCATCAAAGCTTAGCATTGATAATATGACATACACATCACGAGAACATTTACCCCATAGTTTAAGACTGTCAACTAATCATTATGCAACAAAGTTTCCTCTTGTCATGCTCAGTGCACAGAAGTCCGTCTATATCACAACAAACATTCAACGCATCCCACACAATAGGGACAAGTGAGAAGATGGATAAACGGTAAAATCTTTAGTTGTGCTTTAATTGGTTAAAAACATGGGCTTTTACCGTCATGTATTTATGTTGAATAAAAAACTTAAAGCTTCGATGTGTACACCAGAATCAAACTAGGTAACGTTCTTTGCCACTACAGTCACCAGAATGAGCCACCAGAATCAGCTTGTTACATAATTATGCAATCAGAAAAACAGATGAAGCAACATCTCTATATATGACAGGAACCTAAAAGGTAATGAACAATGGGTTCCATGAAAACTCCATTGTCAAAGATTCTTATTAGTATCTACTTTCATTAGATGCTGATATATCTTAGGCTGTCAGCCCCCACTCGAGCATTACAAGTTTAAAAAACACAAACCTGAACTAAAAAAGACACCACAAAGAAGACGAAGCAGAAGAAGAGAGAGCAATTTAGCTCCAAATTCTTACTGCTAGAAAATCATCCCATTCGTATTAAACTGGAACTCCATCCTCTTTTTTACTTCATTTAGTTTTTCCACATTTTTGGGATACAATCAGATAAAAGAAGTCAAAATGTTTCATTTGGAAATTAAGAGCTAGGAATAGGTTCCTAGTCAATATGAAACAAAGTACTCACACTGGGTGAACTTAGACGAGCCATTAGTCCATCATATTCAGCTTGCATTTTTACAAGGCGCTTGGAAAGGCGCTCGACTTCAGAAGATATATCCACCATGTCAGCAAGTGGAAGGTATGCCTCCAGACCCTCACTGGCAACTATATGTACAGATTGATTGGCATTCCCTAAACATCAACCACGTCAAATAGGCCACATGCAGATCCCAATAAATATGACGAAAAAGAACAAGACCCAAAAGAAAAAATGTACAGTTAACAACACAAAAATTTATTTTATCTCAATTTCCACCAATCATAAATCTCACGGGAATTGTACCTGGAGCAGAATCCGTAAAGATCATGTTTTGCAGGTCCAACCTGCAAAGAAGAGCTAGAACTTCTTTTTCTCTCTGCATCATGCAAAAAGGAAAGAGTAAGATATGATCAGAGCAACTCTGAAAAATGAATTTTGACACACTTCCGTTAGACAAGAAAAATTACTGTCCGCACCACAAAACTACTTGCCCACGGTGCTTTCTAAAAACCAGACTGAAAAGTCATAAGAATCTCAGCAACCGTTGCTTCTACTTAAAGGTCCAAATTGAAACGAATATTGATGTGCACAATTTACCACAAAGGACGTCTCAGTTTACTGGGTAACTATACAACAGGTTGTAAATGGCAAATTTCCATGCATCGGTATAACACCAATGTTGCTAAAAGAGATACTATTGCACAACTTTAGGCATTACAAGGTCAAGTCATAGAAAAGCCGATTATGGAAAACCCCGAGCCTATGATAATCTATCTGTTCTTTAGATGCGCCTTTTAATTTCCTTAAAGACTAAAAAACAATAATCCATTGAATTTAGACTAAAAAACAAGACTTGGGCCCTCTTCTCTTTGCTCTTTATATTTTTCTGTATGTTTTCGGTGCTCAAAACTTGGCCAAATACCTACAATTTACTCTCATTTTACCGTCAAACCTTAGGACTCATACCCCCTATATGCACGCTCCTATTATTTGTATTAAACTGAAAAAAACAAATAGCACACTCAAAAGACTATTAATCAGCGGTCGAGGAACCAACTGGAGTCATTCAGACTTCAATATCTGTTTCGGTGTTGCTAAAACAAAGATATGCAGTTAATTTCAAAAAATTAACTTCTTTACTGTTGAAGGATGTGTAATAGTGAGTGAGATGATGTGTTTTAGCTTCTGCTTTCTGTCTTCCACATTATCCTCAGGAGAGAAACAATAATTGATGCAGGAGGCTAAATAGAATTTGAGGTGCACCTTCCCCAAGGCAACATCTTTTAGTTCTCTGTTTTAAATACGGAAAAACCCTCATAGTCTGTAAATTTCTGTGCCTGTATCACTCTCAGAGAAACCTTCAATCAGCCCCTTAATCTTAGTCTTCTGCTTCCAATGGAAGACTTTCTTGTACATCTATCCGTGCAGAGGAAACATACATAAAAGCATATACAATTATCTTCATCTAGTGGCAGTCTTTCCTTTTAGTTACAGGCACTATATACGGAGCCCCGATGCACACCGGTGCCTTATGAATGAACATTTACATACATATTTCAGAAGGCCACGTTTAATTGCAAAAACATACAACTACATAATATTGGTAGTCATATGGCGGCACCCGATGCATATCACCTGTAGAGATTCTCAGGTTGTTAACATGATTGAGCACATTATCACAGCCATACCTAAAACAATCTTCATTAAGCAATGAAGTGAAACCTATTAACAGTGAAATTCAAGGCATAAGAAAATTTTCACCAAGTAGACTGACATAAATGAGATAAAAACTTACTGATATATATTCAATTACTTCTGAACTTGCAACAATGGATGCAGATATTCGCTTTGCGGGCTCAACAGAGTATTCAGCCCGAATATTTCTGATTGATCTTGTCTGCATGAAAATTTTAAAAAGTCAATGACCCTGGAAAAGCCATACATTCTAGACAACAAGTCTGGAGCTGGAGAGATGGATGCACCTGTGACATGGAGTAAAGTTCAGAAGAAGCTTACCAGAGCCTGTAAATTTTCAAATTGCTTGATTGACTCAACATGCCTTGGAAGTGAAGTCAATGGCCAAGCAGATGCCATGAGAGCTTCTTCCCGGGAAGGTAGTGCCTGTCAATGAATTAAAAAATGGAAGAGTCAAAGCTCTTCAAGGTAGACATTTACATAAATTAATTATTAATATGTATATCATTTTACACAGGCGTCAGACTGATTATCAAACTATCTAGAAACAGAATCTGATAAGGTCAGAAGTTCAACGTAAAAAATTGGGACTCAATTTGTGATGAATAACATCGTTTACTGAAGCACCTACTAAAGAGTTAGACTAGGATTTACTTCTTTTATGGATTCTGTCAAAATTATCTTCAATTGTTATTTGGATGAAGGTAATATTAACATCCACACTCTGATTTTGCATCTGTAAACATTTAAACAGAATTTGAGCTAAATTTACGTTACACTGGTGAAGAGGTAAAAATACAAGTGCCTAGTTAACCAGATCACATTGAGTCCTACTTTGGCAAGGTGAAGAGGTATCATAAGTAATACAAGTGCCTACTAGTGAAGAGGTAAAAATACAAGTGCCTACTTTGGCAAGGTGACTGCTTTTGATGCTAGTTGAGGTAAACCTCTTGCACAATTACAATTATGAATAATAAGCAACCAGTGTGCTGGTCAATCAAATTTCATGATGATAAACAATCAGATTTTCTATATACTACATTCCACCTATTAAAAAAAGAGGAGGACAAAAAGTAGGATCAATTACCCAATTTGAAGATATATTCATTACCACTATCCATTCTTTCTCTAATGTAAAGACAATACAGACATTCATTTAGTGGAAAGGCAGTCCACACCACACCCCTAAATTCTAAACCATGTTGATACGCAAAGGGGAAAGCTCATTTATCCTATAACTCCTAATTTCAGGAGTTTAAGAGTACATAGGAGTACCCCGAGCCTCAAGGAATGGCAAAATCTAACTCCTGGTCTTTGACATCAAAAAAGAAGGCACCCAACTCGTCTATTTATTATTAGAAATTATTTCACTTGGAAATCATGTACAGGAAAATCTCTAAAATGCTTGATTTGTTTTCTGAAGCCCTAAAGGTCACCAAATATATTCACAAGCAATACACATAGGCATCTTAATTTTTCCTGAATTCCATTTATTATCTTTCTCATGCATGTAAAAGGAAGCAATATAGTTTAAATAATTCCCATATAATTTCCAACCATATATTGTATAAATAATTTGCATGGCTTCTTAAAGAAGCAGTTGACGACAAAAAGATTATATTGACTTCTCTAGTTGTGTATATATATGCATAGATAAGCCACCCAGAAAACAGCACATCGCAGAGAGAGAGAGAGAGAGAGGGAGGGAGAGAGAGAGCTGCTTACCTGCCAAAGCTCTTCCGTGACAAATGGCATAAAAGGATGTAACATCTTTAAAATGTTTCCAAAAACATATAAGAGAACAGACTGTGCTACAGAAGCACGTGACTGACTTTCAGAGTGATAAAGGCGAGCTTTACTGGCTTCAATGTACCTGAAAGGGAACATGAGAAGCAAATAGGAAACATCTGAATTAGATTTAGTATAAGCTCCTCTAGAGTAGTTTTATAACAATGTAACGGCTGAAGGTTTGAGAAATCAAATGGCAGCAACAAATAGATATCATTTCCAGAAGACCAGATCCATATCTAATTCTTCAATTTCCATCTCTATCATAAGTAATGCACTCAGAATATATCACAAAGTTCATATTTTTTGATTTATGAGAAGATAAGTCAAAGGTTTACTAAAGAAATTATAATATTTTCTTTTCTTTTCTCAAATAGTAGGAGTAGAATACAGATCTTAATCAAGGTAAACATCTAGCCTACCAATTAGAAGCCAAAAACAAATTAAAATTTTCAAAGGACCATTCTAAACCTAGGTATGACGTCTATGCCACACAAGCATGTAGCTTACGTTCACCCTTCTAGTTAACTTCAACTATTTGCCTTCTTAATGATTAAGCACACTTACTATAGCTAAGATAACTGTACCCAAATGATGAAAAGTTTGTGAAACAACAAGATCTACAGTGACTAGTCTAGAAAGCCTAGGCATGATAATCTTATGGAGAATCAAATAAGGAAATATCTTTGTATAGTAAAGATGTTCTTAAACAATGCCATATATTCCTTAAAGAAATTTTATTTTCACATTCAAGATGATGTTCTAAGAACACTATTTCCTCCTCCCCCAACTCATGTGAAAAATCATTTGCCATTCACCTATGGTGCAGCTTTTTAGTTATTTTTGGAGTTTTAATATTTACATAGGGGTTTGCAGCTAAAAAATAGATAACCAAAAGGATCTATGTAAGACTTGAATGGATAAGTATTCAAGTACCTATAAATAGAAAAGATTAGTTGTGTTTAGTAAGAACAGCAAAAGAACACTGAAACATAGTATATGCACAGACATACGCATATGAGGTATATAAAGATGCAATAATCACTTTGTTAAATGCTTAAACTCATACAGATCCTAGCCCATGGGAGCATAAGAATGCTTCGTGCAAATTCAACATATGCATTTAATTGCCAAACCTCCTGATTTACACTAATATGCCACTGCCAAAGGGAAAACAAAAAGAAGAATATTAAATTTTTTTCATTAATGAACAAAAAAGCCTGTGCATGTCCAAAACTTCTAAATTCTAACGGCACCAAGAAGAAAAGTTTGCAGTAAACTTCATGTAGAATGTACTTTTTGTTAAAATAATATCCCCTCTAAAGATTCTATAAATTGTGAATAGAAATTGAAAAAACATAAACATACCAATCAGCAAAATCAGCCCAAAAGAAATCATATAGTTCTCTTCCAACATCTCCAAAGAAATATTTGTCGTAACTTGATGTAACTGTGTCAATGAGAATGTGAAGTTTGGATACCTGAATATTGAAGAAATCACTAAGACACTGAGGTAATGGTTTGGGACTTAATGACAAGTATTAGATGTTTCTTACCACCCAACGTTCTGCCAAAGGTAGTTTGAGCAGAGACTCCACCGTATCAAACTGAGAAACGAATGAACACTTTTAAGCAATATGTACATACAAGGAGAGATGTCAAAGTGCCGGGGTTAGGTGGAGAGCCACTGTTGAACCCTTTTAAATTAAAAAAAAAAAAGCAAATAAGAGAGAGAGAGATGTTCACATATTACGAAAGCCCTCTTCTATAGAGTCGTAGTAAATGCTACTGAATTAATTATCCAAAAAAGGGGGAAAAAAAAGCCCTTCCCAACTTGCTGATTTCCTGAATAGAAATGTAAAGTGCTAAGCAGTGTCTTGTTAATGTATCACTAGTGCACACAATGCCACCTATGTAAATATATGGCAGTGATGAATAGGAAACAGCTCTCCAACAATCATCGAGGCTAATGCATGAGATCCCCTATATTTTAAAGTAACAACAGTTTTTTTCAATCACTTCACAAATCAAAGCCTCGAAATGAGCACTGATCATGCAACAGTAAACTCCAGAGGGTTATCTACTTTATCTCCAGCCTCACCACATCCAATATAGATTATCAAGCAGCAGGGAAGACTTTAACTCGGAATGCAAGTATCTTAAAGATCCAGATGCAAATTGTCCCTGTTTCATTATAAGATAATTCAAAATACCTCCAGCTTAAGGATTGATAATTACCCAATCTTTCATCTACTTCATTATCCCTAAAAATCTCACCCAAAAAAAAAACACATTCTATCACATGAACAATCAAGAACTTGGCTCAAGGAACCTTACCCTTATGCTTGGGAACATTCAGGCACAACACCAGCAAACAAATGGGTTTGCTTTTTGGTTCCCAATTTAATCAGTCAGGTCCATTCAGATTCAAACAGTAAGTTTCAGAGAGTGAAAAATGATGGGACCAATCTAACAACTCTGGCTTTAAGGAACTTGACACACACCTTTTGTGCACAAACCCAGACAAGACCTTACACCTCTTTCCTGTTGAACTGATCTATACAGTCTGATTAAACATAGCTAGGTTGTCAACCTTTTTTGTGCAATACACACCCTATGCAGTCAACCACAGCCTCCCATCTGATTAAACAATTAATCATCCTTCTCTACTTGGAACCTCAGCTTCTAAAAATGTCGAAATGACTTTTATGTTTATTCCATGAAGTACTGATCCCCAAAGAAAAACATGTATAAGCAAAAACATACGGGTTACAATTGCTTACAATAAAAATTGAAGAGGATACAGGAACAAGCACTCAGACCCGCAAATATGAATTCTCAATTCGTCAACTTAAAAGCCAATAGCTATGTTTGCTCTTTCATTGGCTCACATCTAATTCCCCTATTCTGTAGCAGGTAACCTTTCATAAGTAAAAAACATAGTAACCATGCCATATCAGTGAATACAAACCTTATAAATTGACAACGCTTCCCAAGAAGATAAATCGCTTTTGCTAGGCAAATTTTGCAGTATAAACTTGCCAGCATTCCACAATTTGTTAGTGAATGCCTTGTTAGAGGCCAACCTCTCAACTGATAAATTTAGATCCTGTGATAAAGCAGGCACAAAAATTTTAAGAGTTTTTCAAAATAGCCAACCCTGAAAGCAGTTATCCAATTTTCTTAGAAAGCATGCAAATAAATAAACAAACTGCTAAAGTTACACTTCTCAAAAGAAACAAACCTGACCAGGAGTTCCTAATGCTAAAGTGAAGCGTAAGGCATCAGTCCCATATTCTTGAATTGTATCCAGTGGATCAATAACATTCCCCAGTGTTTTTGACATTTTTCGACCCTGAAACATGTTGATTAAAAAGGTTTACTACAGCAATAGCAACTAGTTAAAGGACATGGGAATTCGTTAACCTTAAGCTCTGAAAGAAAGGATGAGGCCAAGAGTGCATTTAAAAGACTGCGGCACAGGAAACAGCAAGCCAACAATTAATGGTCACTCTAAAGGATCATTACAGAGGTCCAACTAGAAAAGCTATTCTCCTAACAGATCAAGCAGATAATATACTTTAATTTCTTTTAAGATTGTCAATACATTTTGACAAATGTACCTCAAGTGACCTGCATGATTAATTATGTGCCACTTCACATCACACAATGATTGAAGTGAAAACCACAGATAACTAGTCAACAGTTTGCAAATTTTACAATATTAAAGGAAAAATGCAAGTAAACAATAATCTTAACCTACATTCTAAAGCATACATGATGTCTGGATCAGTGTGAGAACTATAGCAGCATGTACTCTTATTTAAAGAAGAATTTTTGTCAAAGATGCACAAAAGGTTAGCAATTTAGAACTAAAAGCAAAACAAAAATTGCCTCCTTTGCAGACAGAAACATTTGGATGTGCAAAAGGAAATTTTTATATCTTCAAAAGAAAATTCATCGACAGAAATATGGAACACAAACATTACAATCTGACAACTAATAACAATTCCTTTTTGGGTTAAAAGCAGTGGGAAGGGTAAAGAAAGTAGGTCCTTTAGATACAGTGAGGAATTGATGATCAACTAAAAATCTAAAATCTACACTATGGGGAAGAATAACCTAAAAGAACGACATAGCCAAAGCATTGTACTACTACTTTTTTTGTCTGGAATCAATAATAAAGAAATCCATCATTCTATTCTCACATACTAGAATTTTTGGCATGAAATCTTTAACTTGAAGCACTACATAGGTCCAAAAAATCACTTTTTCTCTATAGTACATCATTCATGCCTTCTCATTGCGCTCTATCCAGTATTGAAGACCTCCTTCAATTGTTTGTTGAACAACTTTACCAGTAAAGGAGATAAAACTTAATTTATAGTTGAACAAAAATTTCTGGACTCATTCACCAATTAATCTCCTATAACATATTTATGCTTTTGTCTTTCAATTACAAATCTCACAAGATGCCCATTTTCGGAAGGTAGTTGACAAATAGACATAGTCTACTAAACTAGTGAAGTGCTTCTGAGAACATTTAAAGTTGAAAGCTCAAATATTGGCCAATATCGTATAATTATGTAAATTCGAACAATCAAGTTACGAAGTACACTTCTCCAAGTTGACACAATGAAAATATTCATTCTGATTAGTAAGAATAGTTACACTACGAGGATTTAACTGTGAAACAAAAGGTTAATGACAATTCATTGCACCAACAACTGAAGCATTGATAGATTGAAGGAGAATTAAATAAGCACCCATTTCTAGTGTACGTGACAAGAAAAGTAATGCTCAGTGGCTGAATTAATGGAGAGACAGGTACTGTACCAGGAAAAAAAACACATAGAAAACTGGAGAAACAAGTGCATAAGGGTAATGTGGCAAGTGAAAACAACCACACTTAACTTGAGAGTCACGGATAAGTCCATGCAGATACACATTTGTAAATGGAACAGTCCCAGTAAACTCAATTCCCATCATCACCATTCTGGCAACCCAGAAAAACAATATGTCGTGCCTGTTCAACAGAACATGGGTCAATGTTCCAAAAGGAGCATAAGTTAAAAGGAATTGTGTTACACATACAGTGTATGATACATTTGTCTATGGGCAAGGCTAGAAAGGGTAATAACAGCTCATCCACGGCAAGAAACTTTTTCAAATTAGAGAAGACTTAAGGAGTCAAGGACACAACTGAGAAAGACATTCCTTTGTGAAGTAAGTGTGTATGCCATTATAATTTCATGTTAACTGAAGATAAAAACAAGTGCTGGCATGCCATGGTGCAGTTAGACTGAAATAGTAGAAATAACATCCGGCTGGAAAAAATAAAAAGAGACAAAGACCCTTTAGCACCTTGCTGGCCTCATCACCATATAAACACAAACAAGATAACTAAAGAAATACAGAAGAATAGATTTTACCTCCAAAAGGCCAAAATCATTTTTCATTAACCAAAACAAATTGGCAACTGAATTTATTTGCTGAAATCAAAATGACATGATGTCATGATCTTTACCATACGTTCAATAGTATTTTGGAGATGGTAACCCTTTTCTTTTCAGCAATTTTCATATTTTAACAAACAATTTGTTTCAGCAAAATGACATACAATTAGAAGCAACTGTGCAAATAATAACATTTTCATTATTCCCAAATATAGTACTAATCCAATGACATAAAAGATGTCCATACCCAGTTTCAAGAATTGATGTAGGATAGAACCGCTTGAAATCTTCCGCCGACACATCTGGCCAACCAAGAGTACTGAATGGCCATAGCCCACTAGAAGAAAAGACAAAATAGTTAAGTTTCAACTAGATCATATATCAGAAGTGTGTCTGATTTATAATCACCATTCAGAATTCCAGAAACCAAACCCAAGCTGCAATATTGACTTAGCTCTCATTGTTTCAGCAGATAGACATTAAAAGAAGAGAATAAAGTACCAGAACCAACATCTACAACTAAGATTGCTCAGTCAGTAGTCTAGTTTTGCATCTTTTAGATTTTTCTTTATTATTTATTTTCATGAATCAAGGGTAGCTTTTGGCAAGAGTTTCACAGGATGACACTTTGTCAAGCATCAGATATACCAGGCAAGTAACAGAGTTTTTAAAATGAATTGACCTGGTTGTTTCAATTCAATTTAAACATCAGATTGACCTGGTTGTTTCAATCTCTGCTATTACTCTTTGTTAATATATTTCTCTAAATCCCAACATAAAGCACCTTTTCTTTCAAGAAGAATATCAGTACTTCATGCTTGTCAAGAATTTAGAAGATGACCAGCAACTTGGAAAAAAAAAATGCAACCAGAAAATTTGCACCTTAGACTAACTAAAATCAGAGTTTAAAGAACTGAAAGAAGTTTAATGACTAAGTATGCTTAACGACCATGTGAACCCTAATGTGTATTAGCCTTTACATTACCTAATATGATCCTTTTCTTTAGGTAACAAAAGGCCCCCAAAAAGAATCCAAAGAATTCTCATGTAAAAGCAAATTGAGTAATACACTTCTAAGATAACTATCAGAGAAACGTATCTACAATTCAAAATAATATTTAATAATTTCAACAAAAAAAGTCAGATCCTAACAGAGTCAAAAGTATCTTCTTAGAGAAGATTTCCCAGGAAAGGCAAACTACTTTTCAGACTGAGCTAACTGCATTGCAAAATCTATGAGCAAGTAATCAAATAGTCCAACTCTAATTGAATACCCCATTTAACACTATATGGTCAAGAAGACTTTTCCAGCCATTGGGCTTACTCTCGACAGCTCATAAGAATCTATAAGCACACAATTGCAATGGAAAATTGCTATTTTTGAAAGCCCGTGAGATGCTGTTAGAAACAGTGATTAGCTTTTCCAACATGAAAAACAAAAGCATGTTGTCTCTACAAATTTTCAAAATCAACTGTATTTCATTTGAAATGATTTGCTTATCGCTTATATTAAGTTGTTGAACACAAGCCTATTATATCTAGTGTCGATTAATACAATTTAAAACAGATACTGGTCCAAAACAGGACTAAAATTATTAACTTACTTAGTTCCCTATGGAAAAGAAATATAGCATATATACACTAGTACTGAATATTTTTTCAAACAAAGTATGGTTTGAAACTGGAAAAGGGATTACAACATAAATGGGATCCATTTGACAAAATGACATTGCAAGGATGGTATAGGTGCAAGGCTTTTAAGAGTATTCTCAAAAAAAAAATTCTACTAACCTCGAAAACCAAGTGTCAAGAACATCTGGATCCTGATATATTTCAACATGTTTTCCATACTTCTCTTGAGCTTTTTCAAGGGCTTCTTCTCCATTCCTAGCAACTATATATTCCTCTTCAGAATCCTTACCAACTATGTACCAGACGGGGATTCGGTGTCCCCACCAGAGTTGTCGACTTATACACCAATCCTTGATATTTGACAGCCAATGCTTGTATATCTAGAGTCAGCAAGTAGCACACGTGTAAGCTGTAAAATCTAGAGTTATATAGTACACTACAGAACCAAGAGATAAATAACAAAACAGGCTTCATGAAAGTAAAATTGAACTGAATATATGCCTATTCTATCTCACTTTATATAAAAAGGCAAAAAAATAGTTCCATGTGCCAGAGAAATCTTTTCCCTTGAAAAGAGACAACAAAGACAGTCGAGCAACCACCACTATAAAAGCTTTTCAAAACTTGGAACACATTAGCTTTTTTCTGATGTATTGGAATGACCATACGTGGCTTATGGGAGAGTTAGTAGTTACAAAGATTTAAAGAAGGTTCCTAAGTAGCCACCAAGAACATGTTGCAAGAAACAGAGACGCAGAATTTTACAAACATATGCACCTTCTCAAATCTCTCAGGCATAATAGTCAATTCTCCTTTTTCAACCGCTTTGAGAGCCTTCTCAGCTAAGGGCTCCATTGTTACGAACCACTGCTTACTTATGAGAGGCTCAACTATCTGCTTATCACAATATAACGCCAGAACCCAATAAGCAATCACCTTTAAGCAGTTCACAACTTATGTGAAGAAAGAAAAATCATACTTCTCCACCACGTTGGGATCTAGGAACTCGCAGATTGTAGGCCTCCTTTTTAACAGCCAAGCCTGTCTCCTCAAGATCTGACCATAGTTTCTTTCGTGCCTCAAACCGATCGAGACCGCTGAAAGAAGAAGCGCAATCCAAGATATTAACAAATCACAAAATTATTCAGTACGACAAGTATCTGATGTTAACAAAAGAGAATATAATAGATAAAAATAATTCTTTGATGTTCCAAAAGTGCATCTTGCTACGCACCAATACAGCCCAGCAACTTCATTCAGCGTTGCGTCCTTGTTCATCACATTAAGTATGGGAAGACCAAGTTTTCGAGCAAGAAGGTAGTCGTTGTGATCATGCCCAGGGCTTATCTTCAACACACCAGTTCCAAAGTCCTTATCCACATACTGCCAAATTTTAAAAACCCATTACATTCAGAGATCATGAAATTGATGTGAAGCATACATAAACAGCTTTAGGGACAACCCTTGGAAGTAGATGTGAAAGAAAAATAAGTTCATAGAGTTCTCATCCAAATAAGAATATGCAAAAAGCCACATAGCTTACAGATGCATCAACTTCTTTAGGCATAGAGCATTTAAAACACAGCATACACGTTAAGAAACACGTAATAGAGTCAAAGCGGAAAGAAAAGGAATTCCAAGACTATAAAAAAAGACAAAAGAAGGCAACTTATAAGGGAAGAAGCTCATCTCTCATGTTAAGTAATTTCAGATTGCTGAAAAGTAAATAGGTAAACAGACTTTTTCTGAGTATGCTGTGAAGATTATTGAGATTCCAGCCATAAAGATACAGTTCTAGCCATCATTTAGGCTTTTACCATCAAAATCAGCATATGAGTAGCTTTTCTATCACCTTTAGATCTCACGGAAACTTGACTCAATAAGAATAGTAAAAAATGAAATTACACCCTACCTTGTCCGAGATGATGGGAACATGCCGTCCAAATGTCAATGGAACAATAGCCATCTTGCCGATGTACTTAGAATAACGTTCATCCTGCAAACGATGAAAAAGAAACAGTGTACATATGATGCACTCTGTTTTGCACAGGAAAAGACATCTAACAACAATCTAGGGAACTGCAATAAAAATACATTCAGTTCATTGGTGCCTCTGAGAGGTGATGCAATAGCGCTCCATCAAGAAGTAGCTGACAAGAGTCTTCTACTTCACTCGAACACAAGTTGATTAATCCTAAAACATGGTATGGGTGGCCACTCAAATAAAAAAAATGAAAAAAAAATTCTAGGTCCAGGCAGTTGGCTTCCAGATTTACCTTCTGCAGAAAATTAACTTTTGACTGCAATTTGAAGCTGTTAAAATGAGACAACACTCAAACTACAGTGTCCCTGATCCCTCCATCTCATTTTATATCAACCTATTTTCCAAATTTTGTTCAGCAGAGATCCCACAAAAAATACTTCACCATCCACATCCAAACTTTGGATATCCCTAAGACATTATAGTACCTTTATAAAAGTGAAAGTCAAATATTGCCTCAATGTACTTCTCCTTTGTAAGTTAACATGAAATAATGGAGTCAAGTTCACATTTCACCCCAACACCATCTGGAAGGGGGTGATCAAGTGGATAAAATATCTGATTGGAGTGCAGAATTTCCAATGCACAGATCAACTATGTTTTCTTACTGGCAACACCAATGGAAAATGCATTTGTAGTATTATAAAATCAATTTCCAAAAGTTGGAAATTCAAAAAGGAGAGAAATATACAAATCCAACTAACATCCATTAATATCCAGAATTTTGAATGCAACTTAATACTTCCCATTAGTGGACACTATAGTTATATTTTAAGTCATTCACAAGGCATGGGCGTCAGATATAAATAAATAAAGCAGAACGGAAGTAAATTGGTTTATACAGCATAGAATTCTGTAAATATCAATTTGACACAATAAAGCTCAGTTCTTTCATCTTTGCATTCTGGTTAATTTTGCAAACAGCAAAGTGACTGATTAAGTTGCAATAGTGGAAAAAGGAAATCCAAAGCCAGAACATAGCATTTCCTTTTCAGATTAACCAAATTATCAGAAGTTCAAACATTTTGTAGCACAAGTAACTATAGACCAAGATAAAATGTTGTGACTCTATCAGATGGATTTAACTTCAAACCACGCTTTTGTTTAACCAAATTCTTCTCATCAATGATCTAAAACATTTCTGTCCAATAGTCCTATTTAGCCACTAAACTGCAATACTCTACAAACAGAAAGCCAATACTAGAATGAGTTTTTGAATTTAACCATTGTCTGCATGCGGTTGACTATTTCTTTTGTCCAAGTTTTACATAATTATTTGTTTTTCCCTACCAATAAACTCGGAATATCCAAGTTTTCACTTGCTACTTTTTGTGAAATTCTTGCTGACTGCACACTTCTCTTACATCTCAAAAGTCAAGACTCAAAGCTTCTTTACCATCTTTTTAATTGTTTTTCAGTTACATAACTGAGGATAAAGGATATCATAAGACAACTGAAGGGGTGGTTAATTTCCACAAGCAATTAAATCAGAATTTGGTTTTATTGCAGAAGAAAATTAAGACTGATTATGACTAAGAAAAAATGCACAAAAAGTAGGCAATAGACAAGAAACTAGCAAAATCCGAAGACAATTCCTGGCTAAACAGCAATTGATTGGTCACTGAAATATAATGTGATGAATTCTATTTGTAAAACTTTGTCTCAATCAGATGGCAAAGGAAAACCTAAATCCATTATCCAGTAGAAAAAGGCTCACATTACGACAGAAAATCTTGCCAAGCCAAAAAGTTTAACCATTGTCTTCAGCTCTGGGATTAAGGAGTATGTACAGCAGATAAGCAGCAAGAGAACTGGAAAATTGGCATTAAATGATGACCCAACTGACAAAGCTTAACCTTACAAGCCAAAAGCTATGCATCAAGCAAACCTCGAGTGAATCAAATTAGCTTTCCCTCTAGTTAAATTTGAAATGTAAAGATAAAAGACAGTCAGGCAAAACCAAGTTACAGTTCTAATCCTGTATGAAATCAGACCAACAAGCATATGCCCAAGAACCACTGTGTTAGCTTCATTAAGATAAAACTTCTCTCTCCATCTCTTTGAAATCTATTGCAACTGCTAACTCAAGTATATGCATGAAAAATGCAAGAGCGAACTATTCTTCAATTTATGAGCAAAAACTTAAACAGAAAGAGCAAATGAGGGGGCAAATAAGAGCTTAAACCCAAAAAGTAGAAAAAGGAATAAATATAGTGTTAATTTCATTCTTCGTCCCGTCGTAAATAGGAGAAAAATTAGAGTTTTTTCTTCGTCTTTACAAGAAAAGAGTAAGCTGTGATACGTTCACTAAAAAAAATCCTTTTGTGGCCAATCATTTATTAAAAAAAAATTGATAAACTTAATACAAAAGCAGAAAAAGAAATAATAGTAACTTGATCCCGGGCATCTACCATTATACCCACAATGATAGGACATACCATTGGTATCCATAATGGTAAAGAGCATCTGCCTATTTATAAAACAGATCATATGGTAGGCCACAAATTGGGAGAATTCGCACCAACTTTAAATTTCCGAGGACATGCAAAAAGCGATAATAGATCTTGTCGTTAATATTAAATATAAAATGATGCTTATGAGAATTCATTACTATTAATCTAATAGACAATAGTGCCATTTCTGGCAGAAACATACCTCAGGATTTACAGCAACAGCTGTATCACCAAATAAGGTCTCTGGACGTGTGGTTGCAATTGTCAAATAATCATCCCTACAACCAAAAAAATAGCATAAGTAAAAGAGACGATAACTTTGTCCTAGATTTCCACTATGAAAAATAAATATGTTAACAAACAAATGGTAAATCAGCTTGCTTTTAGAAGACAGAAATTGCATGTTAAGGGCCTCATCAGTTTACATCTTAAAATAAGTTTCCATACACTAGAATGTGGACATGTAAAAAATGTTCTTAGTTCTCGAAGAGGGACCTGTTTATGGGACAGACCAGTTCATTCTGTCCAAATTTCTGGCCCCATTCTAGTTATAAGTGCCTCCAGATTCCAAATATTTATGAGAATACAGAAGCATAACAGCAGAGCATCAAGCAAGGGCCTGTGAGCTTATGTTCAAGGATAAACAGACACACCCAGCAAAGAGTACTCACTGCATTTTTCCTGGGATATTTCCTCCATCTGCTTACATCTTCTCCAGGCCTTTTCACATCTATGTATCCTTCAAATTAACCTCCGCAACAAGTTACTTCAGTCTAAAGATAATCATGTTCATTTGTCTCCAACAAGTTGAGCAAAAGAGAGGTAATACAATTTTTCAAGGTCTGGTGTTACGGGTTGTATCATATGAAGATGAAGATGGTCCTAATACACTATTATCCATGTAAATTGAGTCTTCAATGTGCCCATATTCACTGCATTCTGTGTAGACTTCAAAAAACTTCAGGGGTCTTTTACAAGGCAAATTTCTGCTGCAGTCATGAATCTGCATATAATATTTGAAGCAATGGAATTTCTGCAGTTATAATTCTACCATTCAAGATGAGGCACTTGAATGAATGGATCCCTAGGATCCTTTTCAGTCCTGATACTCCCACTGCCAAAACGAATGCTATGGTTTAGAATTGCTAAAAGACATACTACAGCAGGTTCAAATCTAATCAAGACTCAGTTGGCTCCATACTGGTGATATAGGACTGAAGGGATTTGTTAAGTAATTCCTCCATGATCTTGGTAATTGCCAAAGATGTTTAAACAGTTTTCTCCCCTAAAACTCACATGTAAATTTTTTATTAGATATCTATTATGCATTGGTTTGTGGAGATGTATGCTTTTACACTTCTGTCAACAAAATGAATGTTACGACTCTTCCTTGTGACTAACAAGCCATGCATTTTAATGGTTGGCATGATTCAGCCATCAACTTTATCAGATTTGAGAGTCAAATGGCTGTTACAATGTTTATTCTGTACCAATGAAATCGATGCTGTAATTAATTTCACATTTACCCTAATTTCTGAAGCCCATTTTCTGATATTTATAGTTAATTCTGCTAAGGAAAAAAGTGGGAGGTTAAAAAAAGAGTCAGAATACAAAAGAATGACACTCAGTAGTTAGCAAATGTTGTCTAAATGGTACTATCAGAAAAAAATTGAAGGCCATTATGCCAAAACCTTCTTTAGGCATTATGTGCAGTAAGATGATTCCATCAGGCCCTTGCTATCTGAAAATTTCAGCTGAAATGGCACAATTTTTTTTCCAAATGTTTGACCATGAAACATAAGAACTCATGAGAGGATTGCTACCCATTCCCATGCTTAATGGTGCACAGTATCTGCCCAATCACATTGCACTCCTCACCCAAAATGATGTCCAAGGCACTAGCCAGATGGTTGCCTTCTTATCCGTCGATGCTGACCCATCAAACAAAATATAAATGACTGGTTTATAGCCATTTTCAAGAGACAAACTCTCTTTTTTTTTTTTTTTCGTCTTCCGTTGGGCAGTTCATGGAGTCCAGTGAGAAAGAAGGAACTGGTTTTGAACACCTTAACAAGAAAAATCCATGACTTTACCTAAATTCTTTACCAATGCCTGATGCACACAAACTATCTCCTGTAACATCACTAACAATAAATTTGATATGAATCACTATTTGGAGCATCTACACAGTTGTCTCCGTAGGAGAAAGTAAACTGAAATCAGTTGTGTTGTAGTGAGGTCTCCATGTGTTTGATGGATCATGTGGTAGCCTTTTTCTAGCTGCAACTGGTTCTAAAATTAGTCATGTTAAATCAGCATATATTTGTATAAGTGGTGTATGTTATATCACAGCTTCATGGCAAAACTTCAAGTGATCAATTTTTTTTGAGAATTTCAATAGAAACTAGTCCTTTCTACCATTGCTTGTGCTTAATAACATCTCTGAAAATAAAAGGATTTGGCAATCTAGCAACACAAACTCTCAAGGGAAGCAAAGAGATAATTTTTAACACAAACATATAGGCTTGATAAATAGAAGACAACGGCAATGCACGTTTAGAAGTTAGCACCAAAGTGTCATATTCAGTGGAAAGCCTTTCATGGATTTTAGTTGATTGTGTTGAAAGCTTAGCTAAGATAAGTGCTAAGGGGTATGAACTCTATGTTTTTTCTCCATATGGGTATGCATGAGTCAGGCTCAAGGAGATGATGCTCTCTATTTTCAACATAAGGAATGCATCTCAATATCTTGAAGCAAAAAAGTTACTAATCAACTAACAACAGGCAACGAAAAGTAAGCAAAATATTCATCAGAAAAATGGCTGATCTATACCTCGAACCTCCAGCTACACGGTACTTGATGTAATATAAAGCACCAGGTTCTTGAGAATATTCAACTTCCTACGAAAAAAGATTAACATGAACTAACAGACAAAAATAAAGCAGCAAAGACAGCTGTGATATCAAAAGGTTACCAAATAACTGAACATACCAAGTCAGAAACAGCAGTCTGCAAATTAGGAGACCAATTGACCAAATATGAACCTGCATCAAAACCACCACTAGATCCGTAGAAATAACCCTTATAGATGATAATTCATCCACTGTCACCAGCTTAATCAGGGCCAAATCTCTTCTTTCCCAATGTCGTGGTAACTAAGAGAAAGAACCTAACATCCAATTTTGTATGTCTTATCACCCCCAATTGTTTGGATGAGATGTCATGTTATTTCTCGGTTTGTTGGTTGATATAATAAAATCGCCCCAGCAACCAGAAAATGGAAAAAGAGCTAAACCCATCCTAATTCCACAATTATTTTACGTTGCTGGACATTCAGATTATTTTACTCATTAAAATTTATTTGCCTAGTCTGCCAGAAATGTGTAAATTTTTGCATAACAAAAGAGGTAGCCCATACCTTGATAAATTAGGCCTTTTTCATGCAGCCTAACAAAAGCCTCCACAACAGCTCCTGCAACAATTGGAGTTTCAATGCTTTAGGATACTTTTTGCCATATTTCAATTAGTACAAGAAAATATCCATGTGGTCAGCAGAAATGAACACATTAGCAGAAAAGTAAAACCATATGACAGGAAAGAATGGAGACAGGGCTTCAGAGGCCAACGCAATAAACTTTTACCACAAACCTTATGTGTTACCTTATCCAATTGTCAGTGTTCTTTTTTCTGCTACCTAACAGAAATAATATCTAATTCGAGTTTATCGAAATGAAAGATGTCTTACGACTCAGCTCTGCATCCAGGGTAAATCGTTCCCTAGTCCAATCACACGAAGCACCAAGTCTCTTAATCTGATTCGTAATGGTTCCACCATACCTAAAAGTAGAATACCAATAAGCAGAGCATAATATAGTCCTTGAATTTGAGAATAACTCCACAAGCACGTGAATACCATAAGAGCTCCAAAACCGAATTTGATGAATACATTAACACAGGTTCACAATAATGTAGTACAGCAAACGCAGGACATCGAAAAAAGGAGACCAATATAAAACATGGGCTATTAAATTCAACTTCAGTTTGTAAGCAGCGTCAGATAATGCTCACCTTAGTTGTCAAATATTTTAATCTGATCTTGCATGAAATTTGAGTCAGCTTGATATTTATGTCATGATTTATGCATAGGGATCCATGATGATTATCAAGTAGATATTGACCTCAGAAAAGAGGAGTCTAATGTTCACCTAATAAAGGAGAGATTATCAAAGCTAGGAGAGCAAAAAACTAGTTTAATTCTCTAGCCAATGAGAAGATGTCCTCCTTGCAAGAGACATAAATTGTCAATGACTGGATTTACACCAAAAAAAAACATCAGAAGTATATGTTGTCAAACAAGGAAGCACCAACTAAGCACCAAATATCTTGGCCAGTCTACAACCAAAAAAAAGGAATCAAGGGGAGAAATTTAAAGCAAAACTGAACAGAGAATGAAATCCTGCACAGTATAGGGAAAGAAAAGATTTTTTAACCAATAATCTTGCCAACCTTATAGCAAGTCAAAATGCGTCTGCATAACTTGCTAACACTTGGCTTTTCTAAATTTAGATTGTAAAAGAAGTCCTTGAAAAAACTGTTCAAATAAGATAGGTCATGTCTGAACTTTTGAAAAGAGCTCTTCTGTGGGCGATTTTCGAATCTTTTTTTTTCCCTGCTGAATTTAAGCTCGAAGTAGACAAAAATGGACCAGATCAAATGTTAACAACACTTTCACTGTGCTTATTTGGAAGGCACTCAAAGGAATCAGGCAATATCAAGAGGCAAGTACATTTTCCATATGGGAAGAGAACTAGGATCACCATTAATGATGACACCTTATTTGTCTGCAACTCCACAAGCCTTTTTCAAGGTAACAGAAATATTGATAACGAACGAGGCTACTTTTGTAGTGAACTTATCTATTTCCATACTATTTTATCTTATGCAAACCCAATTTCATTACCTCATTCGCATCCAAAAAATTCAAATTAACTGCAAAAAACAAAAGAAAAGTCCCAGATTATCATATGACAAGTAGAATGCACACCCCTGCAGTGAACCAATAAAGAAAAGGTAAAAAAGGCCGAATTCTGCTAAAATTATGCCACAAGCATTTAAAATATCAAGTAGAATGCACACCCTTGCGGTGAACCAATGAAGAAAAGGTAAAAAAGACCACATTCTCCTAAAAGTATGTCACAAGCATTTAAAATATCCTTAAAAGAGATGCTAAAGAATTAATGCCTTTAAATAAACATATAAATGCAAAGATCAAATCAATTATGAAGTGGCAGATCTTTCTGATTCTAATTCTATTGCTTCAATTGGAATTAAATAAAAGTCCAAACAGGTCGACCTCCATCCATCACTCCATCTGCCAACCAAAAAAAAAGCCCAACCTCTTCCAATTAAATTTGTAGGCAGCCGGTACAAAAAAGGACCACCCGCGATCCCGCCGGAGATATATGATCCTGTGCAATTTAAAAAGTATTAAATGCATTAAACCTCCTAAACTTTCGTTTTAGTTGTCCCTGATTTCATTAAATAAGCACTTTGTCTCTGTATTTCATATTTTAAGGTAAAAGTGCGTGCCCTTACTATTTTATTTTGTTTCACTTTTATTTATTCATTCCCTTAATTTTCTTTTTCCACTACTTTCTTTATTTTTATTTACTTTTTTTATGTCTAGTTTGTTAACCAAACATTTGCATTTGTTACTCTTTTATTAAAAATTAATTTATTCTAAACTCTAGACATATTAATTTAAATCATATATGAAATGGTCTATGCGCATAAAACAGTATACTTTGTTATAGCATACAGTTTATGATAATTATTACTTCTAATAACAAAATTTAAAAAGGATAGAAATAAATAAAAATTAACATTAATATATTGATAATAATAGCAAAGAGAAGAAAGTAGTTGGTCACGAAAGAGAAAGAAGGAAAGCTACAAAATATATAAAGAAAAGGACAAGTAGAAAAAGAGCAAAAAGGGACAAAAAAAAAGTTATAAAATAATAATTAATATGGAAGAAGTACTTTTGTCCTAAGATATAAAATAGAGGGACAAAGTACCTAATTATTGAGTTGAGAGAGGGCAAAGTGCAACCCAAGGTAAAGCTTAGGGAGGTTTAATGCTTTTATTTTGAACCCAAAAAAAAAAAAAAAACTTGCTTGTATTGTGAAATCGACCAAAAAAAAAAGAAAGAGGAAAAGAAAAAGATACCAAAAAGAAAGAGGAGAGGTCGCTGTCGATCGCCTGGGTCGCAAATCGTCAGCTTTGCAATCGCAATTTGCAAACTAGCAGTAGGATGGGCATTGGGCGGTTTGGTCGGTCAACAGGAGCCGCCACTACACTACCAAACTGCCTATACGGTCACAACACGAGATTCCTAAATCTTGTTCATTTACCAAATCAGCCCCTTTTTTCTCTCTTTTCTCAAACTTTATCCATGTTTTAGCCTTCGTTACCCCTCATTGAGAAAGAAAGGAAAAGAGAGGAAGAAACAAAAGATCTACATACATACTGATAATATATGCATATTTCAACGTCAAGTAAGAGCTCTATTAGTCGCAGCAAATAATTATGAAAGACGATAGGAGCGGTAAAATTTTGATGCCCAGTTGCTGCAGGAAGTGCGGGTTTAGTAGCACTGTAGGAGGGTAATGAATGTCGTAAATGTGTAACCACTGAACTTAGCTCAGTGGCCGCCAGGAAGGGACTTAAATCCCTCCTTAGACTGTAGATGAGGGTTCATATCTCATCTCCAGTAAAAAAATTTTAAGGATAGTATTATAGTACTTTTTGATTTAGTTGGGTCTGTACACCCACTAGTCTCTAACATAAGTCTCCTTATATTCCCTTTCTTCCTAAATTAAGATAGAGTAGATTATACAATATATCGTTGCTGGTAAAAAAAAAAAAAAAAAAGAATGTCGTAAATGTGGGGCGGAATCTGTGGCAAAAGCCGGGGGGTTCAAAAAGAAGCCGCAGCGTTTGAACTTAAAACAAATCTTCAATTGGGTGTTTGGTAGTCGTGGGGCCCATGGTCTGCGCTGTCATATATGGAGGAATAGGAGACGAGAGGACGACTATTCCCCATCGGGAAATTGCTGAATTGGGTTCTAGCTAGTCGCCTCTCGCCTCTCGCCTCCCTCCCATAGTCTTCCCATTCCCCTTTTTTTTTTTTCTCTTTTTTCATGTATAAATAAATATAGTACTACTACTTTACTAGCAAAGTTGTAGTATACAAATCCATTAGCATATGGTTTTCATTTTGCAGTCGTCAGTCCTCTCTGGTTTTGCTTTCAAGAAGAAGAAGAAACAAAATAAACACTGGTGACACCATTCATTCATTCATTCATTCATTCCTGATTGATTCCCACACAACTCACAACACCCAGCGACTCACTCCATCAATCAAATACTAGTAGCAATCATCAGATTCAGACCGACCGACGGACACAGCTGCATCATCATCGATTCCATCCCATCCAAAGACACCATCGAGGCAAAGCAGAGCAAATCCAGTGCTTCTCAATCTCAATCTCAATTTTAATCTCATCATCCTCTCCCTAAGGCTCAAGGCAAGCGACACTACTGCCATCCATATTCATTCTCGATCCTGTGTTCTCCTCTTCTGTTTGTTTCTCCCACTTGACTAGACTGTACTCCATACTCTTGCCTCTCAATTCCTGTCTGTGGTTCTTCTATTTGATTTGAATGCACACTGTTTGTCAGCGCTGCAGTATTCGTTTGTTTTCTTCTTTTTCCCATTTCATGGAGTTATAATTACATCGATCAGTATTGCTGCTTTATAGTTTAGTTTGATCGCAACTACAGTTTCTTGCTTAATGTCAAAGATCAGAATCATCTATTCAAATCCCACTGCCAAAACCCCAATCAACACAAAAATCTTTCTTCTTTTCATTCGAATATAATTATATTGAATCTTAAACGCCTTATTATTCGAATATATATATGGTATTGATCCGACTTCACAGTTGTTTGGGTTTCCAGATGATATAGATATAGATGGTTAGTAGAACTAGTACTACTGATTTTCTAAACCCGAAAAAATAAAAAATGTCATTTTGTATTACTCCAAATTTTTCCTTCTTTTTTTTTTTTTGGTCTTGGCTGCCGCGTCTGTTCTAGCAGCAGCAGTAATAAGTTAACTTTGATCAAAAGGAGATGCTTTGATGATTGATTACCATCCACTTATTGTCAAAGTATGATTAAAGTTGTCTCCTCATATATATCTTCAGGGCTTGATTATCTGATTTATCTTTTTTTTTTTTCCTTCACTTAATAGTGACTTTCTATGGAGCATGTTTCTAATTGTTCATTTGTTGTGAAATTTTTGTTTTGTTTGGTTTTGGGTAGAAAGAAATAGTGAGAAAAAGCATGAGAGTAGTGGTGTGGTAAGACTAAGAGTGTAGATTCTTGTTGTTATTATTCATTCATTAACAAATTAATATGAATTGTATGCGGTTTTGGTTGCTTATGTTGCGGACGACCGAGCTGGTGGTATGTTAAAATCAGCTTTTAATGTAAGGTGGTATTTGATGTTTTAGTTTCATTTCCTGATGCCTGGCCTGGATACATACATACTATATCTCCACTACTATATGTATATGAATATGAGTATGAATATGAATGATTGATGATGGTGTTTTTAAATTTCAACTTTGTGTGATTCTAGAGTTATCTCCTCCTTCTTCTTCATCATCATCATCATTATCATATTCGTCCGTTTGCGCGTCTCAGCAATAGACAGCAGGCATTACTTAGTGGAACGCACTCTCAATCTCAAGTAATTGGCTATTCTTTTGCATTTTACAGTCTAGCCCTCCACTTGTTGGGTTAAAAAGTTTATGACCCAAAAAGGAAAAGCTGATCAAAAAAAAAAGAAAGGAATGGGGACTAAGGAAGGAACTTGCATAACTTTGCTGCTTTTTTTCTTTTGTTTTTTCTCGGTGAGAGTGGGACCATCAATAAATTTCCCATCTGAAAAAAAAAATACACTCCCTAAATTGTTTGCTTTCCACTGTCGCTCAGTTCTCAGCCCTTTAGAACCGTATACTTATAGCGAAGTAAGAAATTGAGTGACGCCGCCTTTTTAGGCTTTTTATTTCTGTGTAGTGGTTGTAATAAATCTGTTGTCGCATGGAGGAGGAAGTACTTAATTAAACTGTACTGCTCCTTTGCTTTCTCTCCTGTAGTTTTCATCCGTCCCTTTTTCCTTGAAAAGAATTGTTTCGATTTTAGTAGTTTTTTTTTTTTTTAAATTTGGAATGAATGAGAAATTTTGAGTTTAACAAGGTCACGTTGATTCATCATCTTCATGTTAGCCAATTAGCCAATTGCCAATTGCCAATTGCCAATTGCCAATTGCCAGCCAAATCGGGACAAAAGAGTAAAAGTGATACACTATAATTGTATTTTATTAAATAAATTATAGTTTAGTAGTCGTATTAGATTAAAGGGCCGGAGCCCACCACGAAGGTGCTTGCAGGCCATGTTTTGTGTTTGGGCCCAGTCACCTTTTTTTTTCTTTTTCCGATTTCCTATTTTCTTTACGTAGTTCTCAGATCTGGTTGTATTTTTTTGTTGTTTTTTTCTTCGTAGTACTGCTATATTATTATGGTATTATAAGAAGCACCCAAAAAAAAAAAAAAATCATTATGCCCTCTTCTTTTTTTTTTGGTAATAAAATTTAAAAAAAAAGGGCTATAGCATAGCATCTGAGGGTATTACAAGCATATATATACTACTATATATGTTTTTAAACGTGGTTTTGAAATGCTTTTTAAGTTGGCTAATTAGTTGCTGCTATAGCATAACATTTTTTTGGGTCCAAGAATCCATGGCCCCACTTCTATTTCTTCTCTTTTTTTTAGTTAGCTTTTTGAAAAAAAAAAAAATAAGTTGCCGTTTGCGTGGGAATTTTGCAGCATATGATATATATATAGTAAAGACAGGCTCGTGACAACGAACGAACCTGAAATTAAAGTCGAATATGTATATACATATATATGAACCTCAGAGAAGACCAAAATTGGCACCATCACCACACTTTCTGTAATTCGTTTGATCTGTGGTTCCAAGTGAACTGAGAGTTCATACCTCTCTTCACACACAAAGCCCCCCTGGGACTGGGAGCACTGACTGTTTTGTGTTTCTTGATCTAATAGCTCTTCTGATTGCAGCGCACGTCAACCGGCATATATTATACTCTGCTTTGCGAATTGCGATAATGGAAGCCGAGACCATAGCAAATCCAGAGCTACCAAACGTCAAAGTTCCTGCGGATGAAGGCAGCATTATTAAGGTAGGTACCTTATATCATATTTCTTGGACTCTTGTCCGTGTTGTTAGCCCCATGCCTTCCTTCGATTACTGTCTTAGTTTTCACTGATTGATTGTCAGTAATCAAGACTTGGATATGATTGATTGATGTTTCAAATGCTCCACATACTACAAGAAAGAAGTGGTTTTTTTTTTTTAAAAAAATCAATATTAGTTGGAAGAAGTGGCTAGTTTCATGCTGTTTTTTCTTTTAGTTTTAGGTACATGATAGTCGAAAGTATCGACAAGATGATCACATTAGTTCCAAGTTATCTGTAGTTCAACAAGTGTGTGAATTTTGCATGGCGCATTTTCAGTACTTCTTTTTTGGTCTTAGTTTTTGACTAGAAGCGCGATGTCATGCAATGAAGTTTATGATCTCTAACAACAACATATCGACGCGTCTTATTATAGGCACCGACCAAGCAGAAGGAAGGAAAGAAAGAAGAAGAAGAGACTGCCCTTGATGGAGAATTTATAAAGGTAGAGAGGGAATCATTTGATGCCAAGGATGGTTCTCGTGTCGTTGAAACTGAAGCTTCCGTGGACAGCAAGCCATCCGTTGCTGAGGAAAGCTTGAGCAATTCATCCGCTAGCAGGGAGTTCCTAGAAGCACAGGAAAAGGCGAGGGAAATTGAGCTCGAATTGGACAGAGTTGCAGGAGCACTGAAGGATTCTGAATCTCAGAATGCACAGTTGAAACACGAGCTTTCGCTTACTAAGGGCTTGCTGGAGGAAGCTGGGAAGAAGCACGAAGAGCTTGAACTGGGTCACCAGAAATTGCAGCGCCAGACCGTGGAGGCGGAAGAGAGACATACAGCACAGCTCAAGGCTTTGGAGGAGGCTGTACGATCTCAAGAACTAAAACACAAGGAGTTGACCGAAGTAAAGGAAGCATTCGGTAATCTTACCCTAGAGTTTGATAGCTCGAAAAAGAAGATGGAAGAGCTTCAGCAAGAGCTACAAACCTCTGCAGATGAAGCCCGTAAATTTGAGGAGTTGCATAGAGAAAGTGGTTCTTATGCTGAATCAGAGACAAAGAGGGCCTTAGAATTTGAGAGGCTGCTTGAGCTTGCAAAAGTCAGTGCAAAACACGCGGAAGACCAGATGACTTCTTTACAAGAAGAGCTTAAGGGCCTGTACGAGAGGATTGCTGAAAATGAGAAGGTCGAAGAGGCACTCAAGACTACGCCAATGAGCTTTCTACGGTTCAAGGAGAGTTGGAGCTTTCCAAATCACAACTGCTAGACGTGGAGCAGAGGCTCGCTTCTAAAGACGCTCTTATACACGAGTTAACTCAAGAATTAGATGTCAGAAAGGCCTCCGAATCTCAGGTCAAGGAAGACGTATCAGCGCTAGATATTTCGCTCTCATCAATTAAAGAAGAACTTCGGTCAAAAGCGTCAGATTTGGAAGATGCCAAGTTCAAGTTGCGGGAGGAAGAGAGCGCAAAAGGACAGGTTGAAGTTAAATTGAAAGACCAGGAAGCCAAAGTATCAACCATGCAGGAAAAAGTGGCCAAGTTAACGGCAGGCAATGAAGAGCTTGAAGCTGCTGTTGCTGAGCTAACAAATAATGTATCCCAGATGAAGGAGCTGTGCAGTGATCTGGAGGCTAAGTTGCAGCGGTCTGATGAGAACTTCTGCAAGGCAGATTCTCTCCTGTCTCAAGCTTTGGCAAACAGTGCAGAACTAGAACAGAAGTTGAAAGCCCTGGAAGAGCTTCATCTTGAATCTGGATCTGCTGCAGACACAGCTACCCAAAAGAACTTGAGCTTGAGGAAATCATACGAGCCTCTAACGTTGCGGCAGATGAAGCGAAATCTCAACTTAGAGAATTTGAGACACGTTGTATTGCAGCAGAACAAAGGAGCGTGGAACTAGAGCAACTATTGAATCTGGTTGAGCTGAAAAGCAATGATACTGAGAGAGAACTGAGAGAGTCTTCTCAGAAACTATCAGAACTGAACGCAACACTAGAAAAAGCCGTGGAAGAAAAGGAACTGCTGAACACCCAAATACAAGAATACCAGCATAAGGTGGCTGCTCTGGAGTCTGACTTGGGTCAGTCAACAGCACGACATTCAGAACTTGAGTTGGAGTTAACGAATGTCACTGGGAAATGTGCTGAACATGAGGGACAGGCTAATAAGATCCACCAGCGTAGCCTTGAGCTGGAAGACTTGATGCAGGTGTCACATTCCAAAGCAGAAGAAGCCAGCAAAAAAGTGAGTGAGTTGGAGCTCTTGCTTGAAACAGAGAAGTATAGAATTCAGGAGCTTGAAAACAAATAATCACTTTAGAGAAGAAATACCAGGATGCAGAGGCAGAGTCTAAGAACCAATCAGAAAGGGTTTCTGAACTTGATGCAGAACTTGGGCACACAAATCTAAAGCAGGAAGCCTGGAAGTTGCTGTAGAATTGGCTACTGAAAAAGAAAAGGAATTGAATCAATGCCTGAATGCTATGACGGAGGAGAAGAAAGTTTTAGAAGATGCATCCAAAAGTTTAAATGAAAAACTAGCTGAAGCAGAAGGGCTCCTTGAAGTCTTGCGGAATGAAACAAATGTCTCCCAGGAGAAATTGGAGAGCTTGGAGGATGATCTCAGGGCTGCTGGTATTAGAGAAACTGAATATACGGAGAAGCTGAAATCTGCTGAGGAGCAGGTAGGTCATCATGGACATTTATTGGAGCAAGCAACCGCCAGAAGCAGGGAGATCGAATCCTTGCATGAGACCCTATCAAGGGATTCTGAAACAAAGCTTCAAGAAGCAATAGCAAATTTCTCAAGCAAAGATTCGGAAACAAAGTCATTATACGAGAAACTGAAATTGCTTGAAGATCAAGTAAGGAGTTACGAAGACCAGTTGGCTGAATCCAGTGGGATATACGCAGCTACAAAAGAACAGCTGAACCAGGTTTTGATCAAGTTGACTTCTGCAGAAAATACCATTGAGGACCTTTTAAGAAGGATCTCTGAATCAGAAAATAAGTCTGCTCAGTTTTCTGCAGAGAATGAACTCTTATCTGAGACAAATGTACAGCTTAAGGCCAAGGTAAATGAATTGAAGAACTTCTGAAGTTGTCTGCTGCTGAAAAGGAAACTACTGCCCTGCAACTTGCTGCGCACGTGAACTCTATCACTGAATTAACGGATCAGCATTCTCGAGCCTCTGAACTCCAGTTGGCTACTGAATCTAGAGTTTCAGAAGCAGAAAAACAATTGCAAGAAGCTATCCTGAAATTCACCCATAGAGATTCAGAGGCTAAAGACTTAATTGAGAAGTTGAATGCTTTAGAAGGCCAGCTGAAAGCATATGAAGAGCAGGCTCATGAAGCATCTACAGTTTCTGAAAGTCGAAAGGCAGAACTGGAGCAGACTCTACTAAAACTGAGGAATCTAGAAAGCATCATTGAAGAACAGCAAGGCAAGTCTGTTCAGTATCAACAAGAGACAGAGAAGGTACTTGCAGCAAATATAAAGCTCACTGAGGAACTGGCATCATATGAGTCGAAAGTTAATGGTACACTGACAAAACTGTCAGCTGCACTTGCTGAGAAGGAAGAAGCAGCTGAAGAGCTTCACTCTGCAAAGAAAACAATTGAAGGCTTGACACAACAGCTAACTTCTGAAGGGGAAAAGCTACAATCTCAGGTTACCTCTCTATGGCGATCATTTTCGTAGTCTATCTCCGTATTTGTGTGGTTTTCTTGGCATTGTCTGAAATCTGTTGTGGCGTTGTTGTTTTCATGCAACAGATGTCTTCTGCAATAGAAGAGAAAAACATACTCACTGAAACACATGAAATTTCCAAGAAGGAGCTGCAGGCTGTGGTAACACGTCTTGAGGAACAACTGAAGGAACAGGAATCAAGTGAAATTACTCTGAAAGCTGAGATAGAAACTCTCAAGGATGAGATCAGCCAGATGTCTGTTTTGCAAAATCGTCTAAAAGAGCTGGAAGAACAATTAGTGGACTATGAACAGGTAGCCATCAGTCATACGCGAACCTTCTTTTACTTGTTCTCTAGTATCACGAGTATTGAGTAGCGACTTACTAATGTTCTGACAAAAGAAGATTGTTTCATTTTGCGTATGTTGGATCCTGGGGAAAGTCTATAAACTACTTGTCCTGCGGAACTATAGAAATGGTTTCTAGGGATGGTCCTTGAGCTCCTGTTTTTATTGTTTCTCTTGTAAACAGAAAGAAAGTCTCTCCCAAAAAGAGTTGGAAACTGAAGCTCCTCCAAAACATGTGATTGAAGAGCTCGAAGCTAAGAGCAAACAAGTCCAGTTCCTGGAAACCCAAGTGAAAGATCTAGAGCAGAAATTGCAGCTGGTTGATGCAAAATCAAAAGAGAAGGTCGGAATTTTTTTATTTTTGAATATTTTCTTGTCGGGTCTATATTTGTCCTACAACAATGCATCGACAAGGAGCAGATTTAAACCTTTTTTTTCCATCCAAAACATTTTGCTTTTCCCTGAACAGCTTAGAAACGCGACAATCAACTCCACGAGGTTTGTATTTAAATTATTAGTAGTAACATCTGAGGGAGCTATTTAAGATGAACGTTTTCTTTGATTCAAATAATGTTTGCAGGAGGCTGGAGGCATTAGTGTGGAATCCAGGGATCTGGGAACCAGCATCTCAACCCCATCAAAACGGAAGAGTAAGAAGAAGTCGGAAGCCTCTTCCACTCAAACGACATTGTCCTCAGATACGAACGCTCAATCTGCAGAGGGATCTCCTTTAATGGCCTTCAAATTCATCTTGGGTGTGGCACTGGTTTCAGTGATTATTGGCATCGTTCTTGGGAAAAGATACTAAAAGCTGGTAGGGCTTCCTGGTTGTGGATTTGCTTCTGAAGATGAAGGAATTCAATTTTTTTTTCTTTTTTTTTAAAAAAAAAAAAATCTTATTTATGGGTTTCTCATTTGTAATAGTGTAGTGAGAAAGAAAAGCCAAATTTTTGGCTGGCATGCTATTTATGTAGGAGGTTAGAGCTGGTTTGGTTTTGGTCCAGTGGGAATTGATTTTTTAGGATAAAGATCCCTGGCTGTGATTTACCTGTATTGCGCTTTGCAGGAAAAGAGAGTTGGTTCCGTGGAATGAAGGTTGATGCGATTAGTTACCCCAAGAATAAGTAAAAAAAGTAAAAAAAAAAGGGTTGTTGATAACTGGTAGATGTGAATTTGTAGTGTTCAGGATGTTAACAGTCAAAAAGATAGATGGAAGATATTCATAGGAGGAATGAGGAAGTGAAAGATGGCGGTCTGAGGCTCTGAGGTGTCAAGGAGTAAACGAAGTGGACTATTTGATTCAGCAGATTCTTTTCCAAAGCGAGTGGGTGCGGGGGACTGAAGTTCGGATGTTGACGGATCGCTGGAAAGTAAGTGCTAAGTACAAAAAACCCACTTGCTGCTAGTCGCCACTTTTTTATTTTATTTTTGGACCGACCCAGGAACGCTCAAGCCGAGACTTGTTCTTGCTCATAGTCATTTTCTATTTAACTTGTGCGCGCAGAGAGGTGAAGAGTAAAAAAAATTTTAGGGATAATATCAGAAACCTCCCCTGTGGTTTTGCTTAGTACTCTTAAAGTTTTAAAAATCACTTACCTCCCTTCCTTTTATTTATTTCTGTAGCAAAATTTTGAAAAACTCTAAACTGCCCTTTTGTTTGCTAAATAAAAATACTCTAAAGTCACTTTGTTTATTCTAAGGAAATCATTAACTAGAAAACAATCTCTAGTACTACTACCACGTCGTAACGTTATAGTCCAGAAAAATTTAAATTTGAAAAAAAAAAGATATTTACAAAGAAATAAACTGCAGTAATTAAACTCTATATGTTCAAAATTCATTTCTTATGAATCTTATTTTTTTTTATGGCATCTTCTCAACCCCATGCCCAAGTCTTTAATTATACTGATCATTATAAAATTAACTCAAAATAAACAAAGAAATTATACTCCACTCTATCACAATCATAAAAAGTAAAAAAATAAAATAAAATGCAATTTACTATAATTTACAAATACACAATCACATATTCATCCAAAAAAAAGGAGTAAGAGAAAATGTTGAAGAAAGGAGAAAGAGAAAAAAAGTGACATTTATTTCTTTTTTTTTAATTTTTGAGATCTATTTATTTGATATGTGAATTATGTATCAAGTGAGAGTTAATATAATCTTTTTGCAATTATTAGGAGAGGTAAGTGATATTTTAAAACCACAAGAATGCCAAGTGATATTAGGAGAAGCCTCAATGGAGGTTTCTGATTTCATCCCAAAATTTTAATTGAGCTTTTTTTTTCAAGATTTAATAACCACCTTTTTTTTACATATTGCAGGTCTAACTGCTTTTTTTTAATCTTTCAAACCAAATTCAAAAAAAAAAAAAGAGAGAGAGAATGCTAATGAGCTAGTCTGAAAATGCATACACGACAACCACAATTTTGTGTTTCAAACATACAATTAAATTGTTCACCACCACTATAGCGGCAAAGACCCACAATTGGTTTTCCACAACGAAAAAGAATCAGTTCAATGAATATATACAAAAACAAACGTAGGGTTGGTTTGCTTCGGAGCATGGAGGTTTGTATTGAATGGCAATCTCATTCTTTATTTGACAAATGAAATCAAATTTGTGGAGTCAAATTCGCGCAAAGGTGAGTAAGGGTTTGTCACAGAAATGGAGATATGAGAAGATAATTTTGTGCCAGGTTCATTTGATAAGAAAAGGTCACTTCATCACAAAAGATTTTGTGTTTGAATACTGCTGTCAAGAATTGTGTTGGTGGGTGATATATAAGAAACTCTGTAAGTGATTGATTGCGGAGACATATCGTTATACGCGACGATGATCTGAACCCACAAAAAAAGAAAGAGAGAGAGAAGATAATTCTGCACCTCATTCAAAGAGTTGAATGATGTCCTTTGCTAGTGCAAAGATAAACAAAAATCCCATTTGACAAATGAGTTTTTTGAATGTTTGTCTAAAATGTTACCGTAGCTTATTGTAAATATTGTAGAAAAAGTTTTTAAGATGGAAAGCCATTTTTTTTTCTTTCTTGTTAATGTAGCTTACTGTAAGTATTGTAGAAAAAATTTTTTAAAATGAAAAACTTTTTTTTCTTTCTTTTTCTTTTTCTTTTTTCCTTTTCCTTTTCTTTCCTCTCTTCTCTTCTCCTTCCCCCTCCTCCTCTCCCTCCTAGCCGGAACAAGTAGCGACAGAAACAACTTTTTTTTCCTTTTTTGCTTTTTTCCTTCACCCCCTCCCTCCCTCTTCTCCGACTAGGGGTGCAAACGAGCCGAGCTCGAGTCGAGCTTTGGCTAATCGAGTCGAGCTCGAGTTAATTTTGTGAAGCTGAAGCTCGAGTTTAAAAAATAAAAAAAATAATTATTATTATTTTATTTTTAAAAAATAAAAAATATTTTTTTAAAAAAAAATGAATAAAACAATAATTTTTTTAACAAATAATAAAATATTAGGGATATATATGTAATTTTACTATTAAAATAAAAAATAAAAAATAAATATATAATTGAGTTTGCGAGCGGCTCGCGAGCCAACGAGTTTAATATTTTTGAGCTCGAGATCGACTTAATTAGCTCGAGCTCGATATTGACGAGCTCGAGTCGAGCTCGTATTCGAGCCGCTCGCGATCGACTCGCGAGCGAAACACCCCTATCCCCGACTAACCTCCCCCTCGCCCTCGCATGATCTAGTCGTGTGACCAGATCAAGTAAAAGGGGAGGAGGAGAGTGGCGGGGAGGGAGAGGGAAGGCGGAGAGGGAGAAGAGAAGGGAAAAAAAAAGGTGGTCGACGTCGGAAGAGGTTGCGGCGGAGGTTGTGGTGAGTTGAGGTAGAAGAAGCATTTTTTGTGTGTTTTGAAAGTGTAGTTTAAAAATTTTGAGCTAAAATTATTTAAAAAATTGGTAAGAGACAAATTTGACCAAAAATTCCTTTGCTAAATAGGTCCAAAGATTCATTCACAAAATTGAACACATTTTTTCCTTTGTAAGTCTTTCTTTCATTCTTTTTTTTTCACAAAACAATGTTCAAAAAATTATAAAAAGGAAAAAAAAATCATCCTTGAATGTTTAAACAAGGAAGCAAAATAGAAAAGAAGGAAGTACAACAAAATGAACAAAACATAGCCCATTTTGATTTTCCAGCGGTAGTGGGTTCTATACGTTCCCTGAAAAATAGTCTTCAATAATTAATTTCACGTCTGGTTCTTTCCTAAAATCGTAGGCAGCGGCAGCAGCAGCATGATGAGATCGAGGAAAGAATGTCTTTTTCTGCCATATAGAGTCCCCTCGTGACCTCGTACAGTAATATCTTCTACTTATGGTATTTGGTACGTTCGCATCCAACCGAAACCAATGTTACGCACGCAATCCGAGGCTCCATCCAACCAATCATGTTCCATTATCATCTCATCTCATCTACCATCAATCATTGATCATTGATCATTGATCATTGATCTGGTGGTGGAAAGTGGGAGGAAAAGGCGACACTCCTACTAACTAAGTGCTAACTGCTCTACTATTGAATCCTCAATCGGACGGCTGCCATGCGGAGGCCGTCAACAAAGACAAATCCTTCCATCCCAGCTTCAAGCACCCGTTCTCCTCCACCAGCGTGTATCCTTTCCATGGGAACATCCCCAGCAACAAGCTCGCCTGGGCCGCCGGGTTCCCCGCCAGCGACACCGGCCGGAACCCGATCCTTCTCAATTCCTCCCCCAACCTCTCCACCTTCACCTCCCCGTCCTCTTCGGGCCCCCACCGCCACGATGTTCCTGATCTCGCACCCCAACAGCTGCTGCTCCACCGTGTGCCTCTCCACGCTGTCCGTCCCCAATCCGTCCCCCAGCGCATCGAACAGCGCCGAGTAGTAATGCAGCGCCTCCACGAACCGCCCAAGAAGCTTCCCCCGTGGCTCAGGTCCTGCTCCACGATGGTGATCAGCTTGGGCCTCAGCGTCCCGAAATCGCTCCCGGTGATGTCGTACAGGCAATGGTGCATCCAGTGGATGACGATGGTCTCCCCGGCCATCACCCGCAGTTGACCCAGGTCCTTGACGTTCCCGATTTTGCCCTCCACCGGGTTGAACTCGAAGGGGAGTCCCAGCGAGCCGGCGAACTCCGACAGCCGCCTCCCCGTGGACTCCAGCAGCTCCATCGAGGAGCCCAGGCCGGTGATCTTGAGGGACTTGATCTTGCGGGGGCGGGAGGCCAGGATGTGGAACAGGCCTGGCCACTGGAGGCCCTGCATGATGTCCAGGTTGAGTGAAGCAAATTTGCATGTGGTTAGCTTTTTCGATCTTGTTCGATAATTCTTGAGCAATTTTCATTGACGTGATGAAGGTAAAGCATGTGACACGAGTGAGCTCAAAGAGTTACAGTGTCTGGAGAAATGGTGGATTCACATAACAATGTCATTGTCCAAATCTCCATTAAGACCATTAGTGCAGTTTGACAAATTCCTCTTCCTTTCAAAGAAACTTTCTGCTAATATATACCACCTACAATGCATTTTATCCAATTTAAGAGTTCCTCTAGCAAGTTTTGGACAGGAGCTGCATTGTGGGCTTCGTTAAATGCAGAACCATCACATTTTCTATAAGATTTGTGAATCAACTTCAACCTCAAACCAGAAACAGTTCCTGTGATATGCACGTATCAGTTCCCCCTTCTTTATGCAGCAGCCCCACCATGCTTGATTGTTTTATGGCCATGAAAGCTTGAGAATGCTGCAACTAGACTGCCATTTTCTACGATCTTAAAATTCAAGAGCTCTGGAGGTTTCAATCACTAGAGAGTTTTTTGCTTGCTACTAAGCTATGCTGAGGTGATTCTGCATCAGTTGGGATTTCAAATTGCAGTGTTCTACTACTAGATCCTTCATCAGCTCTGAATGCATTTAGTATCCTATCTGCTAGAAAACCAAAGCTTTATGCTTCACTAGAAGAAACAGTTCACCTACAAATGACACTACACTTGGATTCAAAGGCTTTAAGCAGAAACTTATAAAAGAATGAAAGAAATCAGGACCTGGTTCTCCGCAAGTGGTGATGAAAATTTTGGAACTTTGAAATGGAACTTAGTGAACATGAGATCAAGATCTAAGCCTATAGTCCGAATATTTACACCACAATGCTATCTAGTGAAGAAGGCTGTAGGAAATGTGTTGCTAGACTGGATATCATTTCATCAAAAACTGCCTAGTTCATCTATACACTTTGTTGTCTGAATTCTTTCATTCATTTAGGCTTAAGGACCACGTAAGCTTCGATGGTCATCAATTGTATCAGAGGTAGCACCAGCATGTTTTGGCAACGATCTTGAATGAGCACTTCCTGAGTGTTTCCTAGCATAGTTGCTTTTTGAGTCAAGACGAACAGTATTAGAAGTGAAGCAATGGCGCACGTGTATTCTGTGAGTTCCTGTCACCAGTGAGCGGCTTCCTTGTACATTGATTAACAAGAGCACTTCCTTGTCTCTGGTGTCTTCAGACCACCAGCTTTGAGGAATCCCGTCAACAAACTCCTCCAAGGTGTGGAATTCCTCGTGGTGTATTGAGATCTCAGCAATTTGATCAGGCTTCAATACACCTGCAGCAGGTGTGACCTGAAATTTAAATTCGAAAAAGTTAAGCTTCTACAGAAACAAACGAGTAAGGAATTGCCTAGAAACAGAGAACAGACTTAGGTTGGAATTTTGTGGTATAATGTTTTCAATGTTCATGACTAGAAAACTTAAGGGAAAAAAAGGTCTCTACTTTGATAGACCTCTGGAAGAGGCAAACAGATGATCAGCATGGAATGAAGTAGTATAATGCCAATATGCTACTTTTGAAGATGTAGAACTTATTTGTTTGCTGGAGTCTGAAGAATATCAAAGCTAGCAAAGAGAGTTGTTATTTTACCTCAAGCCAACGAGGGAGACCAAAGGAACCTCTGGGGCGATAACCTGATGGTTGCTCATCCTCCTTGATGGTGGATTGACCTTCACATGCAATTTGGAAGAAAGCATTGTCTTTGCCACTTTTGTTGGCTATTCTTAAATTGAACGTGTCTTGATTTTGAAGCACAATCCTGTCAGTGCTGACAATGGTTTCTGGAACAAAACGCAGTTCATCTAAGCACGCCCTGACATTGGCATTGGATTCAAAAATTCTCCCAAACTCTTGTCTTCGTATTGATCTATCAACATGAGAAATGTCAACATTCAACTTGCATCGTACGGGTTTGTGATCACTTTCTGTTACGTCCATGATAGCCTCATACCTGCAACATAGGGTAAAAAGTTTTCAGATAAAGAATGGTAGCCTGGTAGGTTGAAAGGAAACCAGGAAACTTACTGCACAACGGAAGCAACTACAGGGCACTCTAAACTGCACTCCTCTGCTGGAGCAGCCCTACTGTCTCTGTATAGTACCCTATCACACCATGCCGGAATTCTTTTTTTCTCACCCGAGTCATATCCTGAAAATGAGTTGGCATTTTGATTTCAGTGTTTTGCATTATCAATTTACTAGGCAGAATAAAATGCCAGGAAATCAATGTCACACTGCTCAGAAAATGAAAAAGATTGTCATCATCACATATTCTTACCTCCTAAACCTGCCTTTCCCCTTTCAAATTTATAGGTTGGAGGAAATCTAATAAGGGCCTCACGCATGCCTTGAAAAACTTTACCAGCTTTCATTTCTGCTCTTAACTGATCTTTTTCGCGAAGCCAATCAAAACTTCTTTGAGAAACAAAGTCTCTTGCTTCATCGTAAGATATCCCAAAAAGGCGATAATTGAAATCACCACAGAACATAACCAAGTCAGCATCAGCAAGATCAGGTTTCCCTTCTTCTGGGTTAACTGCAGCTGCCTGTTAGAACAGAAAGAGGTACAGAAGCTCGCAAGGCTAGCCTTAAGAGAAACAGACAATTGGTATCCAAATTATATTAGTATAGATAGAATTCATACATTTGGACCCCGAAGCATTTGGGCAGCAGATGAGACACCAGCTGCAACAGAGAGGATCCATGGAAATCCAGAAGAATAAAGCAGCCAAAATAAATGCGTGGAGAAGATAAGAGAGCAACAGACAAACAGGAACGGCAGCATACCAGCAGCATTAGTAAGAGGGCTAGAACGGGAGAAAGTCATTGTTCGAAATATATGGTCAAAATCAGCATTGCGGCGGTTGACAGCTTCCAAATGTGCAGCTAAATGACAATTGGCAAAACACATTATGCGATCAAATACTCTCAACCTCAGCCCCACGCCACCCTGCAGACAGGAAAGATGCCCCATGTGTGTGAAAAACATTCAAAGAAATTCACTTTACATATGGGTTTGAAGTCTGCTGTAATCACATTAATAAGCACAAGGTGCAGGATGACAAGATGCAGATGCTCCAAATAATGATCTTCAAATGCATAGATCTGAACTCTGTTAAAATTATTGGATGATCATAGCACTGCCAGATATCTTCTAAGAAAGAAAAACCACTTAGTTGGCAACAAGTCATCATGATATGGATGTTACCACAAAAAAAGTTCAAAGCATCATCATTTTCTCTCAATATTTAACCAGAAAAAATAAATAAAAGAAGCAAGAAAAAGGGAAGACGGTTAACCCCTGAAATGTGTGAAATTTAGTAATAGTCAGTCTGATGCGTAAAACCGTTATCCACATTGCCTGGATGTGTTACAATGTATTATACTATGATTATAGCTTATGGTCCATAATCAGCATGAATTATCACGTTAGAACTCAAGGAATATCATAGTGAAACAAGGCTTGGCTTTACATATCTGCGCCCATTATAGCATAGGATTTAAGTCTTTGTCCTCATTTTTGCACTTTTTCTTTAACCTTTTTGAACAGTCAGAATCCAGAAAGTGAGAACAGACCATCACACATAGTATCTGGAAGAATATCAAGAAAAACACAGAAACATAAAATGAATGACATATCTCAAAAGCATTGACTTGATATATGTATATCTGAAAAAGGCAACCAGTTGGAAAGAAGACGTTTCTGCGCTTAGTTTTGCTACTTCTGAACAGCAGATATTCTCTAATCAAATCAGAAGAAACTTCCTCAAATCTATTTGATGCGAATTCTCTAATCAAATCAAAATTTTCAACATGGAGACTAAGTAACAGTCTAGTACCAAAAAGGATCACAAACATCCTTCTTGCAAATCTGAGGGTCATACAGTAAATAACAAAGTAGTTTGCTCTCAATTTCTCTTTTTTTGGATTGTGATGGCAGCTACACAAAACTGTTGATTGCTTCGGTTTTAGAATAATTTTGCATGTCTGTGCACTAAATTAGCTATGCAGGAGAACAAATGGAAAAGAATTGCCATCAGAGAAAGAATTACTGATATCAACAAAGTCAAGTAAGTTAAAAAATGATACATTTCAACAATCATATTTGGCAAAGAAAACATAATTAGGATGAAAAATTTAAACTAATTCAAAGCAAAAGGACAAAGTTTTAGTACAAAGCCAAAAACTGAATGCATTTCAAAGTATTATGAAGGCTGATCTAACTACCTTATTACCGATGGCACGACCTAATCCACAGGCTACTGCTGCGACATCTAGATCCCCAACATGCGTTCTGAGAGTCCTCCTCACCCTGTTTGATATGTATAAACGGGAAAAAAAAAGAACCAGGACAAAAAGGTAGAGGACCAAATAGAATCTATCAGCGATCAAGTCATTGGTTAGAATAGCTAAACAACGTTAATAGGAAGTGATTGCATTAGGGACGTTTTTTCGTCTCAAAACAGAAAACTAAAATCAGATGATCAAAGCACCTGAACAAATTCTTACCAGATAGCTATAAGCAAGCCAGCCAGCTGCCTTGACCCCACACGCTCAAATGTTGATCCTTCATCCAGGGTCTTTCCTATAGCATCCTGCCACCATTGACCGATAGAACTTCCTTCAAGTCCTACCTACAATAGAATAGTGGTAACCTTGAAACCGAATACACTTGCATATGAGTTGCAAAACAGAGAGAAAATCTACCAATTCTATGTCTAGATGTCTAGCTTGTACTTAATGACCTTCAAGACCACAAGAGCAAAACGGGATCCTCTACCCTTGGTCGTCCTTACTTGAAATGTTGTAAAAAATAAACAGGACAGATTTATTTTGATAGTATGACCAATAGTGCAGGAAGCAAATAGGTACAAAATATGTCTGCAAATAGGTACATTCGTCTTGTAATGAAGACGAATGTCTGCAGAAGGCTTTTGGATCTTGGTGATCATATGTAGGAAACTATATCAGAAACAAAAGTTCTATCAGATCAAATTTATTTGTTCTCTGTTTACGAAAGGGGATCTGACCAATTAGGCAATTACAATCATATTTACTAAAAGGGGAATTTTACCATTGGGAAGGGACATATAATCCAAAATGAATATCAGAAATTAAACAATCACTAGGGCAAATCCTAATACATGTTGACTACAAAAACAAATAAACATGGATAAATATCTTATCTTGGCTCCTTAAAACTATGAATGGTCATCGAGAATTATTCATTTCATTCTAAGTGGTTCCTAGACTACAAATGATACTTAAATCTAAATTTATCTCTTGAGTTCCTTTTACTTCATGCATGCATATAGAATGCTTCCCAGAAAACCAATCATCTCTGGTGTCATCACATATGTGGACATTTTCTTAGTTGGAATTCTTAAAGTCATTGCTCCTTCTACAGCTCCCGCTAATAGACTAACAGCCTTCCAGTATTTGGAATATTTCAGACTAAAAGCCTGTGACTAAGCCAAGACAATTTGCTAGTATATATGGTGGTTCTGCTTGAAAAACTAATTACATGGTATTTTAGTACATACACTAGCAAGAAGTGGATTGTAAATGTAGTAGCAAAGCTGTTGATGTGTAAATGACTTAATCGCATCATAATAATACTCTCTCTCTCTCTCTGTGAGACTGATTTTGCCCTTCTGCCTACATCTAAATAACTTTTGAGCACAGAACTTACAGTTTCTTTTGCTGCAGACATTGCGAGAAAACCAGCACCCATTTCCACTTCTTGCAATCCCACAACTACAATGCCAACATCTGACACTGCAGAACCCAGCCATGCCATAAGTGCATCCTGAGAGGCTCTTCCTTGACCAACATTCCATGTACCAACTAAAATTCTGAGATTTTCTTGTGTTGTGTACATGTCTTCTTTCTCAGCTAATTCTGGTCGTAAAATGTTATCAATAGGCCCAGGAGAGGCTATATTCCACCCGCGTATACCGCCATGATTTGCCATGCTAAAAACATAACCATTGCCTACTACCATTTTTATGACAGGGCCATTGTGAGCCACCCAACTTGCAAGTAAATTTCCATCAAGGTCAAAAACTTGGACCATGCCACTTACATAGCCAACCCATATCCGTGAGCCATATGTGCAAAAGCTTAGTACAGCACAAGGATGGTGAATGAAATCTTGCAAACGGTTCCCATTTCCATCCCACTGCACAAGTAAACCATTTGAACATCCAGTCCAAATAACCCCATCTGCAGCAAGCACTATAGCTTCTGTTTTCTTAGTATCATCGACAAATGCACCTGCACCCTTTGTTGCAACACGTCGAACAGCATCTGCTGCTCCCATGATAGCATTACGTGACCGTTGCAAGAAGCTATTCTGGGATTTTTCTTTCTTTGATTTGGACACAAATTTAACGTTCATCTCATCTTCAACTACTTGGTCTTGTACTGAAGACATGTCAACTCGATTCTCAATCTGACCTTCTACATTGTATACTTTGATAAGTTCTCTTGTGCGAGCATCCCTACAGTTTGTCAACTATGAATATAATTAGGACTCAGAAAAATTATCCTGACCTCCTTAACTTGAATTTTGATTATGCGGCAGAAAACAGGAAGTCAAACGTACCACAATGAAAATGACAAAGAGGCCGCTGCCCAGATTCTGGCTCTGAGATTATCGGATAACAAACATTTTATGTCTGAAGATGAAATGTTGCATACGCCATTCACTGTAACTTGGCTTCTAAGGTCAACAGACGATCGCTCTACCAATAAAGCAGCCATGTGCCTTTCTTCTGGGGATAGAGACAGAGATTTTTCAACTGCTTCCCAAGGCCAGACCTTTATAACGCCGCCCTCAGAGCCTGACCAGATGTCACCTGGATAATTCAAAAACTTAAACTTAGCAATGAGATGAACACCACAAATTGCAGAAATTCAGACAATATCTGTCCCTAGATAAGACCTTCTTGAAAGTTATCTAAGAATCATTCAAGTAAGCATCTTGAAAAATTTTAAGTTGGCAGCATGAATTGTTTCTCTAATCCCTGGACTGACGCCTCACCTAATGGGAAAGAGTTTTGATTGCTGAGAGGCCAATAGTATATATCACACATTTAGCCATACGAATTTTCACAGCCAAGAGAAAAATTTATAAGCAGTCTGAAGTAATTGTCAGTCAACTTGATGGTAAGTAGTTTTTACCATAAGAAGAAAAAACCATGGAAAGAACAGGACCACGATGAGCCTGCCAAGAAAGACCTTCCTTGAAAGGTGTATCATCTGAATGCTGCTGGTCCATCCTCCAGGACCTAATCTTACCATCCTTATGCCCGCTCCAAACCAACTTTGTCCCTGGATCCACCATCAGACAGAGTGCTGGGGAAGTATTTACCGATTCATAAAAGGGTGCTGCATCCTCATCCCCTCTCCTTGTTCTTCCTCCTAATCCACTTCCTGGCTTGTACGCATCTGATAGATTCCAAACTCTTACACCACATTCTTGACCTGCCCATAGTTCTGTGTCTGTGGAAGCAATTGTTCTGACAAACCTCCCAACCTGCAATGGTATTTATAAGTTCCTTATTCATTTCTGAAGTGAAAAAGGGTATGAAAAGAGAAGGTTCTAAACGCGCTATCCCTGCCAGCAAAGGCTATTCTTGTCGTGTGCTTTTTCTACTGATATGCCAATAAATCTTGTTCAGTGCAATCCTGACTTACATTGTTGATAAGCAGAATACAGATTCATCCTAAACTGTATTAACGTTTTTCTTTAATTTCTCACTAAGTTTCTAATTTGTATTACCATGAAATGGATTGAATCAAAAGAGAGACCTGCATTCGAGTCTCCTAGGAATGTTAAAAGATTTGAACAAACTGAAAAAGGAAAAGCTCTAGAGCATGAATCCTCTACCTACAATGAGTGAATCAACTATATACCATAAAGCATTTTTGCGATTCCAGAAAGTTTGAAAAGGAAAAAAGAAGAGATACAGACTCACAGACACGTACAAAAATTAGCATTTCCCTTTTTTTTTTTTTGGGTTAATCTCAAAATAGATGTGATTCATCTCACCCATTCAACTTAAAGATAATGAAACTAGCACTAATTATTTCATCAATCAATTAGCCAAAACAAACTATTAAAAGATACTATTCAACACCATAAACCACTGTTACAATATATTCAAGAACATCTGGATTCATTTCAGAAACAAACCATACAAGAACTGCAGTGTCACCCACAATAATGTAGAAAACATGTCATAACACTATAGAAATGTCAAGTACTACAGAACTAATTATCGTATATTAAAAAGCCAGAATGCACTCAAAACTTTTACGGTGCTATAGTAAAAGTCACCACCAGCTTCTTATCTAATATCTGCTTAATCACGGTGGCAAAGTGTAGCTATTTTTATCAATGGGATGAAATTATAGACTAGATTAAAATAGAAATCTGGTATTTGAATTGAGAACAAGGTGCAGGTGATTCAGGGACATATTCACGTCTTCCTCTCTTAGTTTTCTCCTTCTAAAGAAATTTTTTTTCCCCATTTTGTAAATATATTTCGGCTTACCTGAGTTTCTCTAAGGGGATGTGGTCTAAGCTCAAGGCAAAGAGGGCGGCCCGGGTGCACCGCAGCCCGAGTAGGCACCTTGAAAATCCCCACTCCACCCCCACTCCCCATAAATTCCGGCAATGGTTGGTAGTTCTGCGGCGGATGCTGATGCTGATATTGTACGTATTCCTCAGAGCCACCGCCATCCCCCATTGACAATCCATCAATCCTGTGATTAATATTATAGTCCGCGTTACAAGAAGCAGAGCCAACAGTGGTGGAATAGGGGTAGAAATCATCATCATCATCAGATGAATTCTCCAAGAAATAGCTGTAACTATTACTGCTGGCAATGCCGATGGTTTTAGCATCATCTAAGCTGTGTTTTCGCACTTGGCGATGTTTCTTGTGATGTGATCCTGTGCTTGTACGCAGTTGTTGGCTATATGATTGAGTTTTTTTGGGCACAGGCGGGAAGTTTGATAATCCTGCCAATGCATCCCTGTCGTCGTCCTCCAAGTCACGGTCGTCCATTTTGTTTCCTTTCTCAAATTATGGATACAACAATATCTGAGAATGATTGCTGTTGTTCATGCAGGGATGAGATGATCAAAATCCAAGAGAAAAAGGCTTGAAAACTTGCAGATGAAAGAGAGAGAGAGAGAGAGAGAGAGAGAGAGAGAGAGAGAGGAGGAGAAAATGTCAACAAGTTTGGAAGTGGGGATAGGAAAGATTGCATGGGAGTGCGAGGATTGAGGCGGGGCATTCTGGTTTCGTACGGACGAGAACGTCAAACGTTGTTGTTTCTGTTCTTATATTTTTGGCTCCCATTCCCAGGTTGAGTTGTAAAGTTTCATGGTCGTGGGGACTTCCATTCCATTTTTCTCTTTGCTGAGCCCTTTCACTTTGGGATGGATCGTGCCTAATGAGCCGGGCTTTTATAAACTCGAGTTCAACTTATTTAATTTGTAACATATTCAGAATTCGGATTTTGGATTATGAGTTTCGAATTAATAAATATGAAGTCATATTCAACTTACATAATATTCGGATTAAGAATCTTATTTGAATTTAGTTCAAATTCACTTATTACTCCTTAATTTTCTTAATACAATTACTATAACTATTAAGTTGTACAACTAATTTAACATTTACAAGACTACAACATTAAAACTAAATATGAACAAGTAATAGTTTTTAAAAAGCATATAAATAAAAAAATTTTCAAAAATAATATTTCAATCTAATTCGTTCAAAAAACATGAAAAATATTAATAAAACATGCAGTCATAAATCAATATATTTTTAAAAGTTGGAACTTCTTTATAATCTTGTGATTTGAATCCAAACATGCTTGATGATTTGTGTTTCTAGATCAAAAATAAATCAACCAATATTATACCAACACAAAAATTTGCTCAACTAATAAAAAAAGTTAATATTCATTTACGCATTACTGATATTGGTTCTGAAGAAAGCTAGTAAAAGAATTTTCAGATATATTTTAATTATATTTAGCATTTAGTAAAACATTTGGATATAAAATTATACATAATATCAAAATATAAATATTATATATATAAGTAATTAAAGGACCGGACCTATATCGAGTTTGAGACTAATAAGACCCAAACTCGACTCATATTTAATTTGAGCCGAACTCATATTTAAAAGGTCGGCTCATCAAGCTTTTTCTCGAGCCAAACGAGCCGAGTATGGACTAGCCCGACCCCATTGACAGTCCCACTTTGGGATCGATCAAGCGCTAATATATACTAACGGTGAACTCATTCATAAATACTGCAATTCTTTGACATAATAATAATAATAATCAAAAAATTAATAATACACGTATAATAGATTTGATTGTATATATAAACAACAAAGTGGTGTACAACCCTGGAAGCCCACCGTACAAGTAGACACCTTTGCAGAAACCATAAGACCAGCAACCAAGTGGAAATATGATCAATTCTTGTTCATTTTCACCAATTTTTTTCATTATTCGAGTTGAATTAATTTGCTCCAAATATTTATTTTTTAGTTGTAGAAAAAAAAAAAAAGGAAAAACCATATTAGTAGATAGAGCTTTCTCCAGAGCTAATTAAACCAAGTTTTATACGTGATTCAAGTAAGATCAAGAATGTCCATCTCCTGTATGTAGCCAAAGCACAGAGAAGGATAAATTACAATGAGTACACACAAAAGAAGCTGCTCAAACTCAGACTTGTACAAGTTTGTCCAGACTAGCATGAAACAACAAAGAGACTTAGATTGAACAGAGTTTCAATCTGGGAAGCAATTCAACAAACCTAAATCATGGAGTATTACAGTTTTGATTCTTGACTGGATGGCATTACCAAAGCTCATGGAAATTAGAAGATGGTGGACCAGAACATCCTGTATAGTCAGTCTTCCAACCATCTCAGAGAAATATAGAGTGCGCAGGGAGTCTGATATTTTCTCTTTCTTCATTTCTTCCCCTCGGTTTCTTTTGCGTTCTTGGCAAGTACAAGGACAAAACCAGCTTACATCAAGAATGCCAAGAAGGCAATTTTAAAAATCCTTCCCATTGCATTAGTCGATGGATCAAATCTATATGCTAAACAATTAAACAACTAATCAGACCACCTCGACTTATCTGGTGAAATGACATCACAAAGTTGATAGACAGATTGATCTTTTCCACCTAGCAAGCTTCTCTCGTCCCTGCCAAGGAATTAAAGAGTGCAATTACTATCAAAGGTCTTTGCTATGCTATGTATCAAGGTTAATGGTGATTAAACAGCCAAAACCATAAATACATGGACCACCATAACCAAAGCTCAAGTATAGCATAAGAAGAAATGCATATAAGCCAAAGAGATCCTTTCAGCTTTTGGTGGGGAGGACTTCTAACATTACTACAATAAACATAAACTGGACATCATCAATTACATTTCTTGTACCAATGAGAGCCATCTATTGGGCAATATCAGATATCGATTAATTCAAATTATCTCCAAAAGTTTTTTTTTTTTTTTTTACAGGATTCTACCGGCTGTGAAAGGAATCAGACAATTAACAAAAAGCAGATAATAGCAATAGATGGTTTCTCTGTTTTGGATCTCAGATATTCAGATCAGAATGTCCTAATGTAACAGTGTTTATTCATATGCAATAGCCAAGTTCATTTTCAATGGGATTTCCATCAAATGAACCAAGACCAAAACTAACATGACAAATCTTACCATGCGAGGTGAAACAGCCAGTTCATTTTCCACGATAGAGGTAGCCTCGAACCCCAATGGGTGCAGCACTTCTTCATAACTGCATCCACAGATTTGTCATCAGTTGCATGCAGAACCAAAAAATGAATGTAAATAAAAAAGTGAGTGCTTCTCCATATGTCAATCTTTAAAAAGAATAAATAGATTCTCAGAAGAGACGACAAGATTGTTCTGATTATGATAACTAAAATTGGCACATACTCAGTAGTAGATACTTTGTATGGAGGTCCCCCTTCATGATCACTAATCTGTTGAAAGAGAAGATAAATGTAATGAGAATCTAAACAATTCAAGAACAACTATTCAAAAAGCTATGTTGACCAGATTTAGTAGGATAAAGCACAGAATTTACTCTAAAATAACATTGTGCAACTAAGATGTTGCTAACCTTCCTATCAGACATGTTAGGCATATGAAACTAGAAGATAACACACGAGCAAGAATTCCAGTCAATTGTCTAACCCACATTCAACAATAGATCTATCAACACATATATTATACTCTTACAATAATTTCTCAACACATACATACATATATATATGTATGTGTGTGTGTGTGTGTATTCTTCATGTAGGTAGAGATTGAACATCCTAAATTTAGTTTGGATGAATTATGACAAATAAACGAAATATGAATTAATGTAGAATCACTATATGCTAAAAAATAATAATAGAACATAAATTCAATTAAAATTTGATTCTTTACAAAAATTTTAGAAAAGGAAACTAATGCATAGGGGAATTTTTTTTGATGCTCAAGAAAAAGAATTTGAAAAAAAAAAAAGGAAAACAAGTTTGACAAAAAGAAAAGAGGGGAAAAAATCAACATAATAGATATACGTTGATAATTGAGATATACGTTGAGGGGATAAATTGTGATTAACCCATTTTAGAATTTTAATTAGTCTGGAGAACAAATTAAATTGTATGTCTTAATTAAATGGAATTGGTAATTTAAATCAAGGTCCAATTTAATTTTTGGCTGAGCATTAATTCGTTCGTTAAGAAAACACGCGAATGAGAACCAAAATTCCTTGCGTATTTTTGTTTATGCAGGTAGCATATGCCGGCCGGAAAAAGAAAAATAAAAAAGATTTGCCTGAAAATAATAATAATAATAATAAATAATAATTGGGGGATTCTTATTCATCAATCTGACAATGGTGCACATCCAACTCATAAAATAAACACACGGGATCCTTAGTGTCACTTTTCCGGTGACAATTCAGTATCACTTTTATATTTATGCCAAGGATTCCAACTGTAAAATAATAGGATTGATGATCATGAGATGAGATTAATCCAGGAGTAGGACTAGGAGAAGATGTAACGCTACTGCTGAAAAATCCCACATCAACAATTCAACATACGAATTTTTAGTACCTATATAGTCACACAACTAAGTTGAACGTAACAGGAAGTCCAAGCCATGAACTAGAAACGAACAAAGAAAGAATGAAAGATGCCACGCGCGGAAGAAGAAAATGGTGTCGTCGTCATCATCTGTGTGTCGGTGGTCGTCCGTCAAAAGCAGGCGTCCAACACACAACAGCAACACAAGGCCGCACAGCTGCACCACCACCAACATCCGTTCACAATAATTAATATACATATGCTTCAATTAATGCCCCAACCATATTCAATTATCAATCAATCAAAATATCATTTAAGCTCGCATTCTTTTAGCCTATTAAATAGATAGCATACAAGAATAAAAAAAAGTAGGGATAAAATTGCACTATAATTTCTAAAATTGCACTAATTAACCTCCCCAACGAGGAAATTGGACTTATTACTAACAATAAATTGTATGATTTTACTTTTATACCCTAACTAATTGCAGAAACTTAAAATAAATTGAGTGACTAATTAAAGTAGATTACATGTAAGGTTTAGCATCATTAGCCATTGTAAGCAAAACTAAGGTACGGTGCCAATTGAGGGGGGAGAAAACACATACATGTGCCAATATTATGTTCTTCAAACCGGTCAATTTAAATTTAATTTTATACAACCGACCACTAAACAATTCTGGAGTTTCAACTAAAGTAAGTATAAAAAAAACTTGCACAAATGTATCTGAAATTAAGAAATCAAGAAAGTCTAAGGTAGTAGGATTTTTCCTTTGATTCCTCAATTCTTGTAGTCAAAATCCAATCCAGTTTTTTTTTCCCCTCCTCTACCCTAAAAAAGAGATTAAGGTTCCTTTTTGTTTAGATCAAAGTCTAAAGAATCCCGTGACTACTACTACTACTACACGGCACCCGCAGAAAAAAGTCAAACTAGATATATAAGAGGGGTAATGGTCTGAAAAAAAGAAGACTGACCAGCCCTTCCAGAAGCCATCGTGTCTGGGCGTAGTTTTGCCGGGTGCCGGAGCGGAATCGGAGACTTGAGCCGCGTCTCTGACGGGATATCCGGCAGGCGGTGCTGGAGGGGTGTAAGCAGGGGGTTGTGGCTGTGCTTGTGCTCCTGGTAGGGATATGCCACTGCATGCAACCAAATCAAATATCGCATTCACATAAACAACTAATAGTAGTGGTAGCAGTAGTAAGAATCATCAAACAGACCAAAACTATGATGGATGAAGCGCAAACGGAACGTACCTGGAGCCTGGTTTTGGTTGTAGCTGCTCATGATGGTGTTGAATGGAATAGGGATGGAATCAGTTAATTTGAATGGAGGAGAATATGAGATGGGACAATATATAGAAGATACAATACAAGATTGGATTGGATGGAGGAGTAGATTTCTATATATATATATAGTAATCAATGTTTAGGACATAGGCGAGGGGAGAAAGCAGGTGGAAGAAGGAAGGTGGAGTAGTTAAAATAAGATGACGGACTTAACAAGCAAGCAAACAACGCAACAAAGGGAAAAGGGTCGGCGCCAACACCGCGTCAATGTATTATATCCAGAAGCAATGACATTATCCAGGAAGGAAGGAAGGAAGGTTTTATTTTATGATAAAAAACGTGGGGCTGCTGGTCCTTAATAAATTAGGTGAACCCTCCCTTTCCACACTTGATATTTTTCCGCCCGGTTCCCTCCCTTTTCTTCCTTCCTTCCAAGTTTCAACAATTTCCTCGTTATCTCTCGTCATCAAATACACCCCACCAATAATAATAACAAAGATAAGAATAAGATCCCATGTAGAGATCCCGCCCGCCTCCATTTTTGCCCTTCTATTTATTACATACACCCCTTCCCCCCCCCCCCCCTAAAAAAAAAAACAATGCAATTTCACCTAAAAACAATAGTAAAAAAAAAAAAAAAACACCACATATGCGATCTTGTGTCATAATAAAAGTCTAAGCAGAATTGATTATTCATTGGTCATGGTTTCTGATTGCCCCATTTGACACGGTTCATGTTTGCTTCCCATTTGACACGGTTCATATTTGCTTCCCATTTGACACGGTCATTGTCCAGTGTCGTCCATTCTCTTCTACATTCCCACCACTTGGGTGACATTTAACTTGCCACTGGCCATTTGGTCGTGTTCGGTGTGGAGTGAGGCCTCTTCTCCCGGACCGCAGGGAATTAGTCGGGCCCCGTAAGGATTGATCCGGATACCCCTGTGTCGACAAAAAAAAAAATAAAAAATTATAACTTTGTTTATTAGTCCCTCTAATTAAGCATATCCATTTTGATACGATTCCTAAAACTAATTGGAGATCGACTTTTAATTCCCACACTATCTCAAATTGATTTTCTTTCCAGAAGAGAAAACAACACGCAAAAAAATATATCATCAATTTGACCGCTTACTCAATTGCCATCTATTTGGCTGAGTCATTCCTTACCAAAAAGATCACAGAATAGTTTTAGTTCAACCCCCTAAATTTTTATTCTTTTAACCATTTCCAAACTGACACTTGGACCAACTTAATATATCTGTCCACCAGTCTGCATATAGATTTTTCTTTAGCTGGGGTCGTTTGTGCTTCAATCTGTTTTTGTTTTTTTTGTACAATAGGAGGGTTCAGAGGCCCTTAAAAGACACACTAATCTAGAAACCGAAACACCTCAACATCCCACTAACTAAGGAATCCCTTTAAACAAACCGAATACTTCTAGTGTTCAAATTTATTTGATTATTTTTGATGATTTTAAATTTTCTTTAAGTTCGACTTGCTTACTTTTCCAATCGAGTTCGAACGAGCTTTTTATCGAGTTGAATTTGAGTCGAGCTCCAAACTGTAGTCGAGCTCAAATTACTAGAACTTTTTATATTTAAATTTCACTCATATTTTAATCGAGCATAACTTGATTCGAGCTCTAATACCTTGAATTTTTACATGTATGTTTTACATATATGCTGATTAAGTCGAGTTTGGATTGAACTTGAAAAATTATCAAATACAAATTGTTATTCAAATTTAGTTTGATTAACAATTTGTATTTGATTAACAGACGATTAAAATTTAAACGAACTTTTATCAAATCGAGATGAATTTGAGCACTGGGTAATTATTTAGTTCGTCTTTCAATCTTATATCGGCCAATTGAACTTCAAAAGTCTAGGCTGCTTGATAAGACGTGTAAAACAACTAAATTATGTCCCACTTCTATTGATGTAAACCGTGTTCAGTGTTGGGACAATTGTTGAAGTCCAAGCGTTTCTTTTAGCTGCTTGCGTTGCTACAATTTTTAAATTTTAACCAAAAAAAAAAAAAATAGACTCCAAAAGTTGTCGCTGAAATGTTCAATGCAATTTTATGATATGAAGGAACAGCCAAGATTGACTAGACTGATTCAAATCCATAATGTAGTAATTAATCGAAAACCTAATCGAAATTGTCTAAAAAAAAATAATAATAAAAGCTAGTGTAAGGGCTTCTTCTAAAAGTGCCAACTCCTTTTGAACCGAAACCCACTTATGAACTTAACTCAATTAAAAGTTATAAATTTCAAAAAGGTAATTCGTTGTGAAATTTTTAAACATTTTTGTAGATCCTTTTCCAATTGATTTGAGAAAAGTACCCACATGATCAAAATACGCCACCAATTTTGTGTTAACTTGGACATGTGAAACTCGATATCAGCCAACCGACCATCTGTTTGGTGTTCTTAGATTTAGTGGGTGCCTTTGTCCTGGCCAGTTCGATGTGGGTATACCATCCGTGGCAGCGGTTTAAGAGGACCACACGAAGACGGCCGGCGAAACTCGCGATGGCCGCGGGCAAGCAGGAGAATGATGGCTGCTAAATCGGCATTCGACAAACACGTCAGCTGGCGCGACAAGGAGAACGATGGCATGACATTATTGTGTTGTTTGTTAGTAGCAAGAGAGTATCACACGGGCTTGGATAAACCTCCACCGGATGGACAACAAAGGTCGAAAAGTTGACTGATTTTTTAGCTGGGCATTTCGTTAAAATAACACACGATGAAAACCAAAAATGTTTTGTGCCACTTCCAATTGGCAACGTTCATGGTGGTGTTGATCGAGAATGTAGTCCCAATCCTTGTATTTTTGTTTAGGGCAAATTCCACTTTACCCCCTGTAATTTAGTGTTTTTACATAACCCCCTTATGGTTTCAAAAACTATACATAACCCTCTCATGATTTGAATTAAAGTGTCAAAGTGACGGGAATGATCATTCGTAACGGAGTCATCCAAAATGTCAAAAATACCCTTATGTAAAGTTGAAAATTATTTATTAACCAAGGGAGGTTATGTGTATATTTTGAAAACTATAAAGGGGTTATATGGTAAAATATTAAATCATAAGAGGTTATATGGTAAAACATAAAAATTATACGGGGTTAGTGTGTTATGTATTTATAAGGGTAATTTTGACATTTTAAAAGTTCCGTTACGAATGATTATTTTCGTTACTTTGACACTTTAATCCAAATCATGAGGGGGTTATGTATAGTTTTTGAACCATAGGAAAAGTTATGTAAAAAAAACACTAAACTACAGGAGGGTAAAATATAATTTGCCCTTTTGTTTGTTTATGCGGGTAGCATATGCGGGCGAAAGAAAAATAGTAAAAGATCGGCCTGACAATAATAATAACAATTAACAGAGAAGACCATCGAGTACTAGTTTCATGGGATTCTTACTCATCAATCTGACAATGGTGCACGTCCAACCCATACAATAACAATACCAATAAGATCAATCCTCATGAGATGAGATTAATCCAGGAGTAGGACTAGGAGAAGATGTAATGCTACTACTGAAAAATCCCACATCAACATACGAATTTTAGTACCTAGTCACACAATTAAGTTGAACGTAAAGGAAGTCCAAGCCATGAACTAGAAACAAACAAAGAAAGATGCTACTGCACAAGAAATGGCACGAGCGGAAGAAGAAATGGTGGTGTCGTCTCTGCGGTTTTGGGTCGTCAACCGAAACAGCAACAGCAGCACGCACAGCTGCACCAACATCCGTTCACAATATATGTTTCAATTAATACCAACCATCAATTATCAATCAATATCATTTACTATTACACACACACACGCACTTAATTTTACTACTAACCTTTTACTTTTCTAGTTAACGAGTTCTTTTTTGTCACTCTTTTTTTTCCCTTATTTCCTTTTGTTTAGATCAAAGTCTAAAGAATCCCGTGACTACTACATAGCACCCGCAGAAAAAGTCAAACTCAGAGAGGCAATAGTCAAAAAAAAAAAAGAGGGATGAGGAGAAGACTGACCTGCCGCCGTCGTCTTTGGACGTAGTTTTGCCGGGTGCCGGAGCGGAATTGGAGGCTTGAGCTGCATCTCTGACGGGATATCCGGCAGGCGGTGGGGGAATTAAGTATGCAGGGGGTTGTGGTTGTGCCTGTGCTGCTGGGTAGGGATATGCCACTGCATGCAACCAAAACAAATATCGCATTCACATAAACAACTAATAGTAGTAGTAAGAATCATCAAACAGACCAAAACTTGCAGCTAGAAACGAGATAAACCCAAGAAAAAAAAAGTGTTCGAGAAATAGTGATTGATCTTTTTACAAATAGTATGTGTATATGATGATGATGGATGAAGCGCAAAAGTACCTGGAGCCTGTTTTTGGTTGTAGTTGCTCATGATGGATGGATGGATAGATGCTGTTGAATGGAATAGGGATGGAATTAGTTAACTTGAAGTGAAGTTTGATGGCAAGACAATAGAAGATACAATACTCATTTATATATAAGATTGGTCTGCATTCCTATATCCAGACTTTTCTGGAAATATTTCCCCAGCATATGCTTATGCACCCGTTTGGATCGGTGGTAATTCATCGGATTCCCCTCAATCATAGGGATGAAAACATCTTGATTTTGAGATCATTTAGGAAAGCGAGTGATTTTAATATTTTCACTAAGGGTCTGTTTAGTTGGAAGTAAAATGTTTTTCTTGGGAAAATATTTTTCATGGAAGTAATTTTCCATGAAAATCATTTCCTTTTCATCATTTTCAGGTGTTTGGTTAGTTTATTGAAAATATTTTCTTACTTCATTTTTCTGGTGTTTGTTTAACTTTTGAAATATTTTCACTTTTATCTCTATCTTTACTTTCTACACATTATAACTACATACTTCTTCTCATGCAAAATAAGAAAATTTATCTCATTGTTTAACTTTAAAAAATCTTGGAGAAATGTATATATATGAATAAAAAATATCTCCTTAAGCAATAAACAAATTGCTGGCTATTTAGTGTCAAATATCAATCA